TTTTCTTTAATAGGCTATAAGACACGAATTTTCCTTAACGTTTTCCATCCACGCGGCAACGGTACGATTGTGTAACACCATGTAGTGTGCGAACGTCCTCACAATAGAACAGTGAATATGTATTGTATGACGGCATTGACGCTTCTGTTAGATAATGGCTAGGGTTTTGTTTATTGCAAAAATAAAAAGCAATAAACAAACATACATTTGTATACTATTATAAGATTACTATCATATTAGTTAATTAACTGTCTTGGTAGTCTAGTGGCTAGCATGTACGGTTGCAGATCCCGAGGTTCGAGTTCCGAGTCGGACTAAGTATAATTATTGAGGTTTTTTATTAAGATATTATCAGTAGTAACCTGGAGTTGGAAAGTCGGCGGTGTTTCACCCCCGTACCTCGGAGAACACGTAAAGCTATCGGTCTTTAATGCTCACTGATCGTGTCGAACTATCGTCCCATCGGAGTTTGAGAGGAAAAAGGATTAGGGACTGCAAATGTGTATGTGTGTACACTATAATATCTCCTGCGCATCTGGCTTGTCTCAATAAGATTGGATGTTGTGGCCAAAATCTGTCAGAAGGACATTATATATTTTTACGTCATCCCTTAAACTTAAAACCTCCCTAACTCAGTCAATTGTAACCGGAGGAAAAAAAGTCATGAAACCTTTTCCATGTAAAATTTTAAGCTCTACACACTTTTAATAAAACTAAACTAATTTGTACCGTTTTCGAGCTATTGTGAAAAAACACATTTGACGTTTTTTTAACCCTTGCCGGGGGTCGCAGACACGAAAACCTTCACACATTGCTTTTGTATCATTAAAACTATATTAAATATCAAAAATGCAGAGTTGAGTGCCAAAATTTTGATGTCAGACCTTATTTGACTGGACTAATAATAATTATTAATGAGATAGTTTTAAAAATACAATTAGTTAGCTATATCCTCTTGCTTCGCTCGTGTGTCCATAGCTGCCTTTTGTATTTGTAATATTATATACAGTCAGAGCCACCTTTTACATATTTTATTAGTAAAAGTTTATCCAAGTCATAGTCTGCGTGTACAAAATCGGTTCAACCGTTTCTGCGTGAAGGAGTAACAAACATACAGACACATATACAAACATTCGCATTTATAATAGTAATTTGATTTTCCATATAATATGTATATAAAATTTAAATTAAAAAAAGGTAAATTATGGGGATATAGTTTATGGGATGAAGAGTAACATAGAGTATAGATTTTTTTTCGTGTTCGAGAGACCAGCTGACGTATATTCCACCATGTTATAGTCAACTGATTGTTTAATTTTCTCAAGATATTGGGTTAGCAACAATTTAACAAATTTTCAGGTAAGAGGATATGATTGAATTTATTTATTTCTTTTTCGTGCGTGGGAGGCTACCGCCGCTTATCCCACCCACGGAGCCGCAGCTGACGTTTACGAAGCTTTATGATACAACTCTCTGAGGCATTCCACTAATTATCGCTTGAGAGGAAATAATCGACCAAATTTGTACCTGGCTCCCGGACTTCTTCTTCTTCTTCTCCCTGCCCATTTCCCAAACGGAAATTAAAATTCCTGGCTCCCGGACCATAACTAGTGTAGTGGACTGTATTTATTTTTCTTCCTTCGATGTAATAAAACACTTCTTGAGTATAACTGGCTTTTATTTTCCTTTACAATATTTGAACTGAAGAGAACACTTTATTCAACGGTAGTCAACTGAATACTGAATTCTGAACTGAACGGAACTGAATGATTTACATACAAAATGCCCTAATACTTATTCTAGCATTAACACTGGCAATAGGCATACTACTAAACGAGATAAGATAATTTCCTTAATTCTAATTGGTTGCTTTATACAATGCAAGAGGGGGGCATCTATTGCGCGTACATGATACTTTGCGTGCACATAGATTTGTTAGAGAGAGACGGACATATGCTACTATCGCCGTCGGGGGCGGTCGTGGTTCGTCGGGCCCGTCGTCACTCGTTGCTCGTCGTCCGTAACAGTTCTCCCCCCGGCGTAGCGCTGCGAGCCTCCTCTTTCACGAGCACGACGAGCTTCGTGACGGGACGCTTGAAGACTCCGGTCTTCGTCTGGATATCCGCTACTCGCACGCCGCCATCAGGTCCCCTGTAGATTTGCTTTACGATTCCCATAGGCCACACGTTGCGTGGCAGGATGTGGTCGACTATGACCACGATGTCTCCTTGCTGTAGCTGCTTGGTGTTGTTTGTCGGCTCGCCGCGAGGAACGAGAGTTGGTAGGTACTCTCGCACCCATCGCTGCCAGAAGTGGTCGGCGAGCGCCTGGCTGGCCCGCCAGGTGCGTCGATCGTCGTCGGTGCATGGCCCAGTGATGGGTAGGCCAGCAGATGATCCCAACAAGAAGTGGTTGGGTGTCAGTGCCTCCGGGTCGTCTGGACTCACGCTAACGTGAGTCAGGAGGCGGGCGTTGATAGAGTACTCCGCTTCGACCAGCAGAGTCCATAGTACTTCCTCCGTCGGCTCCTTTTCCTTTAAGGTGGAGGCTAGTGCGACTTTCACTGACCGCACTAGTCGTTCCCATGCGCCCCCTTGGTTCGGGGCACCTGGAGGTATGTAGCGCCACTCCATACGATGAAGTAGGCCCTCTTCTTTCAGTGCTGGCGCCCACTCGGCGTAGGCGGCCCGTAGCTCGTTGTCGGCGCCTCGGAAATTCGTGGCGTTGTCTGAGTACATAGTGCTCGGCCATCCTCTTCTTGCTGCCATTCTTCGCAATGCCATGATCGCCGAACTCGTAGATAATGATGAAACGATCTCTAGGTGTACGGCGCGCGACGTGAGGCACGTAAACAACGCACCCCATCTCTTCTCTCGACGTCGTCCTATTTTGACCATCATAGGTCCGAAGTAATCCACCCCACAGTGAGTGAAAGGGCGGCGAAATGGTTCGAGGCGAGCGCGGGGCAGGTCTCCCATCGACGGGACCTGGGGCTTCGCTCTTCTTACTCTGCAGAGGGCGCACTCCCTTTCTATGGTGCGCACAGTAGGCCGTAGGTGTATAATCCAATATCGCTGCCTCAGATCGTTGGTCACACGCTCACGGTTAGCGTGACCCGCAGCGCAATGCTCTCGTAGCACTAGAAGCTTAGTAACGCGGTGGCGTCCGTCGAGGATGATGGGTCGCTTCACCTCGAGCGGTGCAGTGGCGGCTCCTATACGGCCTCGCACCCGCAATATTCCCTCCTCTAGCACTGGATCCAGCCGGAACAGTCGGCTCGCCTTGGGAAGTGGATGTGAGGCCTTCATCCGTAGCAGCTCTTCTTGAAAGCTGTCTTTTTGAGCGCGGCGTATGAGTGCGCGCTCGGCCTTTTCGATGTGTCGATGCTCCAGTCCCGTAGCCCGACGCCGACACTTGTCCACGAACACTAACACCCTCGCGGCTGCTCTGACCAGTGTCTCGAACTTGGAGAAGCGCGCAGGATCCGGCAACCACTCGTCACCCTGCTGGTCCTCTGTGGTCACGTGCAGTAGGACCTCCTCCTCCTCTGTCGATCGTTCGTCGACCGGCCATAGTTCCTCTGGCTGACGTAGGAATTCTGGTCCCCGGAACCATCGGTCGTCACTGGTGATGCGAGTGTGCGCAAATCGTGTAGCGTCGTCAGCTACATTATCGCTGGTCGGGACCCATCGCCACTCTTCTGGTTGTGTCAGCTCGGCCAACTCTCCGAGCCGGTGCGCGACGAACGGTGTGTACCTCCGCGCGTCGTGCCGTATCCAATGAATGACAGTTGTGGAGTCGGTCCAGTACATTGTCCTCTGGACCTCCACACGATGCTCTTTCTTTATAGTTTCCGCCAGTCTGGCGCCGATGACTGCTGCTTGTAGCTCCAGGCGAGGTATCGTTTGTGTGCGCCTTGGAGCCACCTTCGCCTTGGCGGTCACGAGGCTTATGGCAATTGCTCCATTGGGTCGTGTGACACGCCAATAAGCCACGGCTGAGTAGGCTTGCTCGCTGGCGTCACAAAATACATGTAGCTCCAGGCCCTGGTAGCCCTCCAGGGCGTAGCAGCGTTCCAGTCGCAGACAGGTGAGGTCGGGTAACTGCCGCAGCCACGCTTCAAACATTTCGTTTTCTTCTGCAGGAATTGATTCATCCCACTCCATCTTCATGCGCCAGAGACTCTGCAGGATGATTTCTGCTCTTATTGTATAGTGGCTGAGCAGTCCCAAGGGGTCATACAAAGACATGACTGCACTGAGCGCCTCTCGCTTGGTAGGCGGACGGGTCTGGGCGCGTACTTCCGCAGGAACTCGGTTCATTGAGGTATTGAACCCCAGCTCGTCCCGTTCGGCGTCCCAGTGCAGGCCAAGTATCTTGTTCTCGGGCCCGTCTCCTCCTAGTCGCGTCGGTGATGTCGCCCGCAGCTGCGTGGGCACGTCGCCAATCACTTCTTTTGCGTTGGCGTTCCATCCACGTAGGGTGAATCCAGCCGCTGCGTGCACCTCCCTGGTTTCCTGGATGGCGTGTCGAGCTTCTTCCGTGGTGTCGTAGCTCGCCACCAAATCGTCCATGTAGTGACTCCTCGTGATGGCTTCCAAGGCACGAGGATGCGTCTGCGCGTGCTCCTGCGCATTGTGATTTCGCACGTAGTGGGCCATGAAGGGTGAACTCGCTGCGCCAAAAATCATGCTCGTCATTTTGTAGTGGCGAGGTGGATTGTCTCGGTCGGCGCCCCTCCACAGGAACTGTTGTGCTGGTTGATCCTCCGGTCGAATCTTTACCCGGAGAAACATCTCCTGTATGTCAGCAGTGATGGCTACTGGTCGCTCCCTGAATCTGAACAGGATGCCTTGAAGCGACGTCAGTAGATCAGGTCCCTCCAGTAGGTAATCGTTGAGGCTGACCCCTCGGCTCTTGGCTGCTGCATCAAATACCAATCTTTGTCTCCCCGGCTTGTTTGGATTCTGCACGGCGAAGTGTGGTAGGTACCAACAGACCGGGCTCGAACGCTCCGTGCCGTTGCATGGCACAGCGTATCCTTTTGCAAGCAGGTTTTCTATCTGTTTGGTGTATTCTTTGGCGAAGGCAGGTGCGGCATCCATCTTCTGTTCTATCTTCGTAAGACGGCGAAGTGCTGCGTCGAAACTAGGCGGCATCTTAATGTCGTCTTGTTTCCAGGGCAATCCCACCTGGTATCCACCTTCGACCTTCTTTAAGGTTTGCTCGACGATCTTTGTTGCCCGGGAGTTCACCTCGCTCACCCGTGACTTGTGAGCGATGCCGAGCGCGTCGATCCGAAAATGTTCCTCCACCAGGTCATGAAGGCGTTGATCTTGCTGCTTCTTCAAGCCTCCACCAGGTTCGACAGTGAAGACATGAAGAACGCCATCCTGGTTATGGATTACGCTGCGTGGTGCTGTTCCATGTACCACCCAGCCGAGTTGTGTTCTAGAGGCGGCTGGTTGATTCGGGCCTCCAACTCGTAGTTCCCGGGATACAATATACTCCCAGTGGTCTGTCCCCACCAGGATGCCAGGGTGTGCCTGGTCGTAGCACACTTCCTCTCTTGGCAGATCTCGTAGGTGCTCTTGCTTCAGTAACGCGCTGGGAATGGACTGCTGGTGAAGCTTCATGTTCTTGATCGTTCGTGCTCGAAGCTTGTGTCTCTTTCCATCCTTCCCCTCCAGGTGTACCGTTACCAGCTGACTATCTTCCTCGTGCTGAGTCATGTTGACCCCGTGCATGTGAAGTGGTGTGAGAGGTCCCTTGGCGCCGATTTTCTTTGCCAGCTCCTCGTCGATGAGGGTGATGGTAGCCCCTTCGTCCAGTAGAGCATAGGTCTTCTCCTCCCCCCGTGGCCCGACGACGGTGACTGGGCACATCTTCAGAAGAACCGATTGAGTTGACACAGTGGCTTTGGTTGCCACCGACAGCACGGCTTCGGTTTCATTTATCAAGGGTTTGGGTGTCTTCTCCTCTCGGTGCAGGGTCGGATGGTGTGGACTGCGACACTCGTTCACACCGCATAGCTTCGCTTTACAATTGCTGCGTCTGTGCTTCTTAGTTATGCACTTGAAGCATAACTTCTTTTCCTTCACCAGTTCCCATCGTTCATCTAGCGAGAGCCCTTTGTACTTGGGGCACTGTGGCAGTGCGTGAGTCTGCTCACAGCTAGGACATTGGCTGACTTGTTCCTCTTCAGCTTCAGTCACGTTATACACGGCGCTCATCTTCTTCCTCTGGTTCCCGGTGTTCATCGAGGGTCTGGTCTCCCTCCGGGTTGCAGCAGGTGTTGAGACGCTCATAGGTGGGGCATATGCATGCTTCAATGCCCGGTCTGCCTCGCGCATGAGAAAGCGAGACAGCACTACAATCTCTGGTTGTAGTGTAACTTCATGTTCCTCGGCGTAGTCACACCAGCGTGCTCTGATGTGTGGACTCAGTTTGTCCAAGACCTCTCTCGCAAGCATTGGGTTGTAGAGGTAGCCCTGGCGTCCGATGCTGTTCAGGATGCTGACTACGCTTTGAACCTTCACTGCAAAACTGTTCAGGTCTACTGCTGATGATCCGGGTCTCGGAAGCTTCTTTAATTCCAGGAAAGCTTGATCTATGATGACCTCAGGCTTTCCGAAGCACTGTTCGAGGGTCTTCATCACGACGTCAGGATCTGTAGCGGCATGTAACAGGCCGGCTACGACGTTTCTTGCTTCTCCCCGCAGGCAGCTCCTCAGTCTCTGCAGGTTCTCGTTCGCTGATATCTGGTATATCCTCGTAGAGTCTTGATAGGCTGCTCTGAACGACAGCCACTCGTTGGCTATTCCAGAAAAGATCGGTAGGTCAGCGCATCTTATTCTGGGTCTAGCCATCTTCTCTAGGGCTTCAGCCAAATGCTCAATCCCTGGTTTCCTTCTGGTCGGAGTGGGTGATCTTCCTCTAACGTTGAACCGGAGGTGTTGTTCCCCTCCCCTCCTTCTCTGCTCCTCCTCCTCCCCCCGTGCACTGACGGGGTTGGTGCGGAGCCATGTGTCCACCTTCTGTTGGTGGTCGAGGTTCTCTTCATGCAGGCTCTCCTGCTCCTCTTGGATATTGGTGATGTCTGCAGCCAGTCGCTTTCTGACGAGTTCAGCTTCGATCTCCAATTCCTTCTTCCTCAGGGCTGCAAGCTTCTCTGCAGCTTCAAGTTCTGCCAGCCGTACTCTAGCAGCCACGCTTGCCGTCGATCGCACTGAATGCCCTGGTGACCTGGTTCGGGGTCGGTCTCCAGTCTTCAAGGGTCTGTAGGCAGCAGAGGTTGTGGGGGCAGAGGCGTCGTTCGTAGCCCCTAGCCCAACCTCCGTATCCATGGGCGTGGTTGGTGATGCTGGTGGATTCAGAGACAGTCTTCGTCTTCGCTCCAGTTCAATTTGTTTAGCTCCCTGGCTCCAATCTTCCACACGGGGTTGACCTTCCAGGTGTTGCTGTTCTTCCATGTGCTGCTGATCTTCCAAGCGTTGCTGTTCCCCTGGGCGGCGCAGATCCTCTGGGCGACGTAGATCCTCTGGGCGGCGCAGGTCCTCTGGGCGGCGCAGGTCTGGACGACGCTGATCTAGGCGGTGGGGGGTGCCAGGGCGGCGCGGCTCCTCTGAGCGGTGCGGCTCCTCTGGGCGGCGCTGGGCGTCCATCTCGGCAGCGTCTCCTTGGCTCCTGGTGATGACCATTCTTCAATACTGGATTAATCTTCTATCCGGCTCGAAGGACCAGCTTGTAGTGGACTGTATTTATTTTTCTTCCTTCGATGTAATAAAACACTTCTTGAGTATAACTGGCTTTTATTTTCCTTTACAATATTTGAACTGAAGAGAACACTTTATTCAACGGTAGTCAACTAAATACTGAATTCTGAACTGAACGGAACTGAATGATTTACATACAAAATGCCCTAATACTTATTCTAGCATTAACACTGGCAATAGGCATACTACTAAACGAGATAAGATAATTTCCTTAATTCTAATTGGTTGCTTTATACAATGCAAGAGGGGGGCATCTATTGCGCGTACATGATACTTTGCGTGCACATAGATTTGTTAGAGAGAGACGGACATATGCTACTATCGCCGTCGGGGGCGGTCGTGGTTCGTCGGGCCCGTCGTCACTCGTTGCTCGTCGTCCGTAACAACTAGTATTTATTCAAGAAAACGAAGTGACTGGAATTTACAGATATGAAATGGGGACGTTATTCAGATGCAAAAGTTATATAACGAAATTATTATAAATGCGAAAAATTGTGAAGATGGATGAGTGCTTATTACTCTTTCACGTACGGAACAGATGTTGATGAAACTTTACAGTAATATAGCTTATACATCAGAGTAACATACAGGCTATAATTTATAAACATATAGTAACACATAACTGAAATACGCATGTGAAGTTGCGGAAAAAGCTAGTAGACCATAAACGATTCACATTAAGAAGGCTTATGAGATATTTCCATTCCATTTACAAGAATCGTATTTACAATACCAAACGTTACTAATATGATAAAGAGATTAAGTTTGCGAGTTTGTGAATTGTGAGTTTGTCAGGTTGTAGGGGGTAATCTCTAGATCTACTAAACCGATTTAGATGAAATTTAGTAAGAAGATAGTTTGAGACCCTGGGAAGGACATAAAATATTTTTTATTCAGGTAAAAATTCCTTAAGGGGGTGAAAATAGGGATGAAAGTTTGTATGAGGAATCAACCTAGGGACAAGCCCGAGCGGAGCGAGGGTGAGTCGCTAGTATCATAATTTCATTTTTTAACAAAAAGGTACATCGTTTTTATATTCTATTTTAATTCACATTTTTTTATGTAGAGAAATATTTAAAGAAAATTGTGTGAGTCCACCCTTGATAACCTACTCATTAAAAAAATTATATGTAACCCTAACACTCATTTAAAGAACACTCACTTTCCTTCTCTTTGAAGTCGGTCAATTATGTATTTAAATTTTAAAAGCTTTTTAATGTGAAAAAATAAACAATAAAAAGAAAATATTTGTCCCACAATAACTGAACCAAACCTCATTCATTCATACAAAATGAGTTCAAGTTTACAAACAAAAGTACAACCGAGCACAAAAATTAGCACTATTAATTCTAACCTATCAAATGGCACAATTCTTCTTTATGTTACCTCTTTGCAATTAAATTAAAGAAATTTAAACCTTGAGTGGTTGTAATAAGAATGTGCCATTTCATAGTAATTCAAGGCAAGGTAAGGTCATACGTCTTTGAACGGTCGTCAATTAGCGTCTGAAACAACGTGGGCTGTTTGAAATACTGTACTGTTAATGATAAATCGCTTTCAGTATATTTGTATATCCAGTCCGATTGGTGAATTCGTCATATTGTAATTTGCCTAGGCTTTTTGTGAAATATTGCCATTTAGTGATTTGGCATAAAATGTTAGCATAAAATGCTATATTCCTAGTAGTAATTCAACTGATAAATGAGAATAACATATTTATCGATTTCCCAATTTAACAATTCATCACATCGTGCTCTGGCTGTGTAGTTATATTATAAAATATTAGCATTTTATGACATACATATATAAAATTCAAGCGTGGTTATAAATTAATTAAGTTTTTACTTGAACCTAGAATTTCTCAGACCTAAACAATCTATATACCTAAACAAGGCAGAGCAAAACACCAAACAATTTATGCTAAGCGATCTCCCAGGTGTTAGATGGACCCCATTGAACTTCTCTGATATCAGAATGGACTGTTTGAGCAACCCCATGGTCGCCGTGGCCTGCTTCGACAGACATGCCTAAGGGTGTCGTGGTAGTATGCGGTAGCGATCCTGCCACGCCCCATTAAGATAGGAAAGGTAACGGTAACGTTTGGGTTTTAGTGGATAATACTGGCTGTGCCGGTGAATTAAAAAAAGTGGCAATGTATCACGAAAATCGCTAAAAGTTTAGAAAATCTAAAAGTTTACCGACTGAACATAAATCTTAATAATCTTTCTGAAGTGAATGACTCACTTAATAGATTATATTAAAATCATATTCATAGCTCTAATATTTTATGTATTTGATATAATTCGAAGAAATATTAAATATCTTTAGTATCCTCAACGACATTTAATTTCAGCAATCTTAGATAAATATTTGATGCATACAAAGTATATAAACACGTACATTTTTTATTAAAATACAGTTACACAATAAGCAAAGTATGAAAAAAGCATCAGTGTCACGACCGTGAGAACACCTCAAGGTTTGGTACGATCGTACAGTTATCACCATCCTACGATTATTATGGAGTACAAAAAATATGCAATCTTGTTACAATTTTGTTTTTTATTTATAATACTTATGTGTAGCCTCGAACCAAATACCAAATAATTGACGTGACAAAGTATGTGAATATATATATATATATATATATATATACATATATATATACATATATATATATATATTAAGTTAAAGTCAAGCCGGAATCGAACTGTAGCGGTCTCGGACAAGATGATAGTCTACTATTGCTTACAAATAGAAATTGTAGAAACTGTATTGAAATAACTTTAATCGTTATGCCAGAGTTTTATAATACACTCTAGCATTGCCCGCGGCTCCGCCCGCGTTCAGATGACCAAAAACCAAATTCTTAGGTTTTACATATTGTTATACTCTTACATTGCAGTTTTTGTATTTTTTCTCAGAAAGGAGATACTTTTCCGCGGTACAAAGTATCCTATATGTTGACCCGGATAGCCAGCTAACATTATACCAAATTTTATCAAAATACCTCCAGTGGTTTTTCTGTGATGCGGTAACAGACAGACAGACAAACAGACAAAAATTCTAAAAACTATAGATTCGGCCTCTGTATCGATAATAATGTATATTTAGATAAAATCTTTTTGACGTGAAACGTCTTTAAAATCACATCGAAACATACCGGAACCCAGGTCAGAAAAGTGGACCATAACGAAGTAGGTTGCATTAGGTTGTCATAGTAACCGTTGTTATTGTGTGAAAAATGTTTTATATTATGATATTGTTTCCGTTGTTATCCTCAAAGAGTACTATTTCAACTAATTTATTTTCAAATATGCAATCACTACATAGTATAAAACAAAGACGCTTCCCGCTGTCTGTCTGTTCATATATATGCTTAGATCTTTAAAACTACGCAACGGATTTTGATGCGGTTTTTTTTAATAGATAGAGATATTTAAGAAAAAGGTTTATATGTATAATACATGCATATTATAGTACAGGATAATCACGAAATTCACACATTTCTATTTCATACTAACCGTTAAAACGTACCTAGGGACGAACCCGAGCGGGGCGAGAGTGAGTCGCTTGTTTCTTAAATAAAATTATTTTTTTAAGTATAAAAATAACTGAGAGTACTCAATGATATCAAAGTTTTCTATTAGTAAAACTATATTTTCGGATTTTGTCGCGGATTTATTTGCATTTTTGTTTCTCGACGTTTCGAATGCTTTACAGCATCCATGGTCACGGGAGAGACTGAGGTGTTACATGTCTTGGAGGTATAGTTGTTACAGACAGCCTACCCACAATTAACAAAATGAAAATTGCACCAATTACATTACAATATTTTTTAACTTTAAAGATTTTTATAATTTTAATTATAATTGAATATGGAATATTATTTATTTAATTTTTGCTATTATTTTTATAATTATTACAATTTTAAAATATTAATTAGTAATCTATATTTAGTGTTGCCATTATTATATTTATAACCATAAAGAAAATTATAAAATATAGTATTAATTATTAAAGCCATATAATTGTTCTATGTGTAATTTAAAAAGTTAAAGTTAATTAAGGATAATTATTTTAATTTAGTTTGCTATTATTTAAAAAAACACAACTTACTAAGCAACACTATTACTATATACTTTTACAAATGAAAAATGAAAAATATTAATCTGATATGCTGTCATTTTGATCTACACAGTAAGAACTTACTACATCTACCTGTCTGTTATGTTTAGATTTATTATTTGGTTTTATTATATTAGTAACAGGATCCCGGAGAAAGATCAGAATAGATGTTATATATCAGTGTATGTATATTTTGTCCAATGAAATATGAATTATAATATTATTATGTCAACTATATTTTTTCAATGATCATCTAATTACAAGTACTCTAAAGGTGTCCTTTTCACGCATCGACAATATTACGTGACCATATAAAAAAGTCACGGCAAGTCACGTAACGCCTTTGTTCAGATTATTTATTATATTTACAGTCCAAAATATCTCTTTTACAGAAAATGCATAACTCTTTGTTATAAACTTCAATTTTTTATAACACGTTTCAGTTATTTAATGGAAAGTTTTTTAGGTCTACAACAAATTAGAGTATGAAATTCAGATATTTTGAAACAAAAAATAAACATTTTTTATATGTACATGTTTACTTTTGCCCGTTGATTGTTCTTGACGAAAAAATAAAAAATAGTTTTTTTTTAGTTGAATTAAAAGCCAATTGTTTGAATTCTTTAAAAATAATGATATGATTTTTTTTATTTGAATATTTTTTTTAATCAGGACGCTTTTGAAGACATAAAAAAGGGCTTAATGCAAGACCTCACTAAGCCCAACGAAACCTTCCCCATCTTAATTTACAGCACAAGATCACGTTATGAAAAACGAACTATCTGTACATTGTTGCGTGAAGGAAGCACAACACGCTACACACCAACAAGCTATTTCATTTGTTTTTTTTTTCTTTAAATTAGTAAGAACCATAAAAATTAAAGCCACGTACAAAAGATTAAGGTAACATAATATAAATAGTCTTCTGAAAATTACACGGACACAATGAGTTGCCTTGAAATAATAAATTATCTCATTGTGTGTATGTCCCAGGCCTTATAGGTCAAAACCTTTATTTATGTTTGCTTAGTTCCGCCATTTTAGTTAATAGGGTGAAATATCTCAGTTATGTGTATACTAATATTACTGTATTGCACTAAAAATTAAGTAAAATACGTGTGTACATATATGACACTAAAATTTAAGGTATTTTTGTGCATAAATTGCAATAATTTGCAACAAAATGAAGCGTAATTGTTGTATCTGCACTAATTTTAAATTAATATAAACATAAGTTCTACTAGCCCAATTTAAATGAAATTTGGTAAGAAGATAGTTTGAAACCCTAGGAAGGACATAGGAAGAATACATACTAACGACTTTACTATACCATCTTAAACACGCGAGCTTTAAAGCTGCTAAACTAGTTCGTTTGTACTTTGGATGCGGGTAGCTATCAAAATAGGTTTTTCCACTATTTATTTAAAAAATGAGTCTATGTTGTGTCCTTAAGAAAAAATCTTACATATAATAAAATTCTGAGTCGAATCTGTACATTAAATATTTTTTGGAAAATCTTATTGAAATAGTCTTTATATATTATCGATACAGAGGCCGAATATTTTTTAGAATTCTTGTCTATCTGTCTGTCTGGGAACACGTCAGGAGAAAATCATTGGAGTGATTTTGATGAAATTTGATACAATGATAGCTGGTTATCCGGGTCAATAAATAGGATACTTTTTACTGCGGGAAAATATCTCATCTCTGAGAAATCTATACTAAACGTTAAAACGTAACTAGTGACGAAGCCGAGCAGAGTGAGGCTGAGTCGCTAGTACTCTATATAACATAATATGCGTAAAATACATACTAAACACGAAACTAATATGATTCAAAATGCAACCATTAAGTCTATTAAGATAATTAACAAACAATATCCTGACAAGCTTATTTAAAACAAACAATTGACTGTAAGTGTGACATTGATAAAACAATAAGGCATTTGAAAACAGGAAGGTACCTACATATTTGTGTTTATTAACTTTAAGCTCTTAAACTAATGATCTACTGTATCTATATTCTATACTATACTTCTTTATAGTTTTGGGTACACAACTTGTTTTAAATATCGCAAATATACATATTTGTACCTAGAAAACGTCGAATCGTGCTGTTTTAACGTTTGCTAAAAATATTTATTGTATTATAATTAAACTAAGAATTTTTATGCAAGTGGCCGTTGTTTATGATATACTAGCGACTCACCTTCGCTTCGCTCGGGTTCGTTCCGTACGTTTTAGCGGTTAGTATGGACTGGATAGACTATATATTATAATACTGCTACGCTCTCTTGGGTAGTAACCTAGGCCTTCCTCAATAAACGGGCAGTCTAATGCAAAGAGAATTTTTCAAATCGGATTAGTAGTTCCTGAGCTTTTGCCTCTTTATAATATTAGTATAGATAATATTTTTATCAAAGAAGAGGAAATTAAGCCAAATATGAGTGTTTGATGTAATATTTTTTTAGATAAAACAATTTTTGAAGTGAAAACTTCTATAGGCAGGTTTGGATGAGGATTAAGTTCATGTAAGTCGTCATCGACATGGTCACGTGATGTGTTAACGCTAACACTCAGAGTGCCGATAGATGTCAAAACCAGATAAATGTAAACAGTTTTAATTTACAAATTTTAATTTAAACCAAACAATTAATTCGAATATCCAAAAATAGCAACTGTTTGTTTATAGTTATAAGTGTTCACTTTTTTTGCAATTTTTTTAGCTCCCTATAACAAAATATTCGCCTCAAATGAATGACGTGTCAAATAATATTATGCAATATTGTTATTAAAAAAAAATCAAGACTTTTTTTTTTATTCGATATATTCTACGTCGTTTAAATTCCTCGAGCGAATTTGAATATGTGTTTCGCCTTCGTGATCACAAATATTTTTTATGGGACTATTGTGATTATTTTTTGTTTATTTTATTTCAATAACAATACTCAGATATCGATCAGTTATAGGTAGTTTTTATTTAATTATTTTATTTTTTATTTAAACCACTCATAGTAGGAAGTAATTTACATAAATGTGTTTATCTAGATATAAGTTATAATTCTCACGGTCTATTAAATATATACTTGTACAGGTAATACCATGAATTATAGGAAGTTAAAATATTGAAAAGAAAAATGTAACTAAAAATTCTTTATCAAACTCTGCTGACATTACTATTACAAAGGCAAAATTTTAAAATTGTGTCTGTATGTGCATGTGTGTGTATGTGTGTGTTGGTGTGTGTGTATGTGTGTGTTACTTCTTTACTCTAATATGGTTAGACGAATTAGAATGAAATGTAGTATACTGATAGACTATGACCTAAACTAGCATACTACTGTTGTACGTTAGTATTGACGACAGGTTTGGCTGAGTTTGTAGCGACCCTACATGCTGTGCCAGCGGTCGCGGGTTCGAGTGCCGCTGGCGGCATTCATTTGTGTTATGAGCACGAATGTTTGTACTCCAGTCATGTGTGTTTATATTTATAATATGTATGTATTTAAAGTTATATATGTGTAGTGTATCAACTATCTGGTATCCATAATCCTGGCCTCATAGCTTACCATGGAACTAGATGGTGCTCTGTGTCAATGTCCCAATATATTTATTTATTCGATAAATTAAATAATCATATATAATTTCGTGAGACTACTTAATTTTCATCTTAACTAGACCATTCAGCTAAACTTACGGTATCAGTTACTTATAAAAGACTTAATATAAGAGACTTCAAAAATTAAATATAGATATCATACCAATGGATAACATTTATTTTATTATATGTATTATAGTATAGTAAGAACAATACTGAGTATGTAGAGATGCGTAATATTGTTCCATATATATAATGACCGGTTTGGAAAGTTTCCGGGTGTGCGTTCCCACATTAAGAACAAAGACATACATTCAATAGCTTAGTTTCTTCATCGCCCTTTTTTGCCTATACCTTCCTATGACAGTGTATAATTAATAAGGTTTTATAAAATAAATAATAGTAGTTGTTGCGAATTCTAACAAGAATTAGTAAGTGGGGCACTAACGACACGTTTGGCTCAGTTTGTAGTGATCCTACTTGCTGTGCCAGCGGTCTCAGGTTCGAGTCCCGCTGGAGGCATTCATTTGTGTAATGAGTGTAATGAGCACGCTCCAGTCATGGGTGTTTATATTTATAATATGTATGTATTTAAAGTTATATATGTGTAGTGTATCAACTATCTGGTATCCATAGTTTTGAAGACACGCTTGGCTCAGTTTGTAGTGACCCTACTTATTGTGCCAGCGGTCGCGGGTTCGAGTGCCACTGGGGGCATTCATTTATGTGATGAGCACGAATGTTTGCACTCCAGTCATGGGTCTTTATATTTATAATATGTATGTATTTAAAGTTATATATGTGTAGTGTATCCATAACACAAGCCTCGTAGCTTACCATGGAACTAGATCGTGCTGTATGTTAATTTTCAAACATATTTATTTATTTATAATAGGACTCATTTGTATATATTCATTTAATAATGGTGTTATGTCATATATTGAATTATGCTTTATTTTCCAAGGCATCGGTAACCCTGTGGTAACGCGCTCACTTGGAAAACCAAGGGACCCGGGTTCAAATCACAGGTCTCGCACCTCTTATATTTTCATGCGCGAATAACTTTTCAATATGATTACTATCAGCTTAACCTCGTTAGGAAACCTGCATGTCTAAGAAAAACTAGATATTGAAAGACATGTGAAGTCCGCCAACCCGCACTTGGCCAGAGTGGTGGACTATTTCTTGATCCCCCTTACAATCTTCAATACGAGAGAGGCTCGTGCCTAGCAGTGGAACGCCAAAAAGGGGTTGGATGATTAATGCTTTATCTACAACATCTTATTTGTAATTTTACACTGAGAAAACACCTTTTGGAACTTTGCACATATATTTAGACATTTTCCTTTTACTAAATACGGTCTTTAGTAATTATTAGGAATTGGTATTAAACAAATTAAAATGAGATATTTTGTATTGCATAATCATATGAAAAAATTGGATGTCATTAATATTTCCTTTGATTGATAGCAATATTTTATGTTTTTAATAAACTTATTGTGCTTTTTAAAGTACTTCTACTCATTTTGAACTGATAAAAATCGACTCTAAAAACTCGAGTTGACTTATTGTATTTATTTCAATTACCACCAACTATTGTTTTTACGCTGTGGCATGTTTTATAGAGTGCGTTCAAAGAAAATGAAATTGAATATTATGAATAGTTTATTCTTTACTACATCAAAATATTCTATAATAGACTAGCATTGCCCGCAGCTCCGCCCGCGTTCAGATGATCAAAAACTAAATTCTTAGGTTATACATATTAGTATACTCTTACAATGCAGTTTTTGTATTTTTTTGTACGTTGACCCGGATAACCAGCTATCACCATACCAAATTTCATCAAAATCCCTCCAGTGGTTTTCTGTGATGCGGTAACAGACAGACAGGCAAAAATTCTGAAAACTATAGATTCGGCCTCTGTATCGATAATAATGTCTATTACAATAAGATTTCCCAAAAAATATTTAATATATAGATTCGGCTCAGTTACAAATTTATTATATGTATAGATTTAAACTTCACTAGTATTAAGTCAAAGTGCAGACTATGTATTCATCCAGGATATATCTCTATTTCAAATTTTATTTAAACTTGTTAAGACTTCATTGGTAAAGAAGTAAAAAACATAATAATATTAAATGACTAAATATATAATAAATATGTACTATAAAGGGCTAAATCTATACACATAAAGATTAAAAAATCTACCCTGTTTTTCAACAGATTTTCTTGTAGTTTTTGTTTAGTAGCTGTAGTATTGACGAGCTTCAGTATTATGAATAAGGAAAAGTACATTCTGTTCATACTTATATGTTTTTCACAAATTTTATTAATGGATTTCAACCATTAAGCCAAATATATTGGTAAAAACGAATACTCATCACCTTTGAAATAACACCGTGATCCAATTAGTATCGTCCATAAAACTAGAACTATTGCATCTCAGAGTAAAGAATAATATTAGACAGACAGAGTATTATAGAAATAAACACAACGCGAAATAAAAATGTTTTAAAATAGTATAAGTGATGTAAGATGAAAAAAGACTGTTTTTTATCACTATGTTGAATAAAAAACAATAAAAAAAAGTTTTTTTTGTCTAATTTTCATTATTGTTCAGAAAAAAATCTATAGGAAGTTAAATGTTTTATTGAAGTATGTTTTCTAATTTCTTACATTTTACTAAAATTACAAATCGAATAAAGTATAATGAATAATTTAAATAAAAATGTGTTCTTCCTGTATGTCAATGTCAGTACTACTTTCAGTATGAATGCCACCTACACGAGTCTTTTCCTTATCAGTGTCGGAATTTTCACATGTAGGCTTGGCACTATTCAACCAAAAAAGTATGGTAGGTTTAAAAATAAACAGAAAACTCTAATATGAACTCTTAAGTATTAATTTAAAATTTTACGCAAACTACCTTAATGATTTTGAATTCTGTACTCTTGAAAAAAAACATGCTTCAGAAAAAAAACGCGTTTTTTTCATGTTTTTTTCTAGTTTTTCCCACGATAGGAAAAAACTTTTTTGCAACACTAACTAGTATACAAATGACAGTTTCTATACACAGTGATACTTGAAAAAATATTAATATTAACAAATAAAAATAGCTAACAGATTTTATTAAAATACAGAAAAAAATATTAAATAAGTTAATATTATATTTTCTCTTTCAAAGGGAGGAGAGCTGATGCTTAAAAAAATAACGTACTATATTATTTTAAATGAGTAATATCATTTTTTATTTCCCAAAAGTCTTTGTATTATATATTGTCTTTGTATCGCAAAATCGAGTATAGTAGCATAAACAGCAAATCACGCTACCATTTTTGACTTTAACATTCATTTTGGCAGGCTATGGTATATGGTTAGCCGGTATGTCTATATAATATATAATAGTCTAAGTACTGCATATATAACAAGTTTTATCTTTTAAATTGCTTTATAATATCTATCCATTTCACAAAGGATATAAAATTTTATCATCGACATTGTCTTTAACAAAGTAAATGTAAATATAATAATTATATTTAAATGTTTCTCGAGATGAGTAAATGCATTTAAATTTTCTATACAATTAAGTACATACAAAACCATTATTTTTGTTTCTCACGGATGATGGCACTTTGCAATTTATAAGGAAGAATTAAAAGAGAATAATAATTCATAAAATTAATGGTCACTCACAATATAATTTAAATAACTTATCTTCATGATATATTTTAAATAATATATTATATTAATAATATAAAATATTAAAAAATATAATGTATTAATACCTAGCTCCTTCCTATACTATCTAAAGCTAATTGTCAAAATTGTCATTAAGTAAAACTTTTTAAATCTTTCGTTTTTTTCTACTATTCATATATATATTTATATATATATATATATATATATATATATATATATATATATATATATATATATATTCATATTCATATATATACATAAAGAAGTTCATAATATTACAGATTACATAATACCATACTAGTATAGATGCCTTATACCATACAAAGTATTAGACAGCGCTAATTCGGGCTATTTTTTGGCTTGAATAGATAATAAATGTTGTTGATCGTTGAAATAGTTAAACTGTTATATTTTATAAATATATATAAACTAACGTATGATAAATAATATAAAATTTATCTTGCATTCGAATAAAAAAAACAGTGATCATTCATAAAAAGTAAAAGCGCCATCTGTGAATATACATTACAAACCCATCATCTTATTGCTGATATTTCAATAATCAATAAAATTACACCAATTTGATTTTCAAGCGCAATATTCCGTTTCCCTTAAATTAGATTTTTTTTTGAAAACAGTAGTACACCGTTTTTGAATCTATTTTTTATCTTTTGTGAATTTAACACAACTTTAATAATAAATCTATACATGTAGCCTCATCTGTTGACATTTATTTGAACTATTTTTTCTTTATTCTTGATGAGACCCCGTGATAATATTAAAACAAAAAGCGCGTGTCGAATTAGTAGTAGCAACTTTTATTCTAAAATATAGCCACTGCTAGAAGGTATTTAGAGTGTAAGTTGAGTTTTGTGAGTGTTAGATATAGATTATTATAATACTTATTTAGAATGATCAGACTAATAATTTTTATATAAATCATAAAATGTACATGTTCATAAGTCTTATCAAAGCTTAAAAAATATTTTCAAACGGTCTATGTAAAAAAACCTAAGTTCGTTGAAGTCTTTTATTTGAAAAACATACAACTCTCATCATACTAAATCAAAGTATGAAAATATAATTTTCTAAAAAAATAATAAAAAAATGTATACTTACAGCAGCGTGTTGGGTTGCATCATTAACATCTGTTTCGAAATTCCATTGGGCAGCCACGTTATTTGTACACTCCTTAGATGCTTGATCATCAGCTCTAAGTAGAAAATCCCTCACTTGCTGTATATTGACATAATTTAACCTATCATCTATAGAATTAGTGTTCCCATCTCTATTAAAGGAATATGGATTAGTCCCAACATAATTGGGATCGCTTCTAACAAAATTGGGATCATTTCTTCTAAAATTGGCATCACTATTTATGTCTATTCGATCATCACGGTTTCTATCATCATATGGACGAAGGGTTGAGCTTGGAGTCCTCACAATCCCAGTTCCATAATCAATGCTAGGATAGCCATTACTACTTATGTCTGGGTTTATCCTGGGAGGATTCGAAGACACTGGATAGACACCTGGTGTCACCGAGCTTTGAGGCCTCCCAGTACTAAATTGAAAGTTTCTGTTTAAATCATATTGATTTCCTTGATTATTTGTGGATTGAGTGCTGGATATTCCAAAGCCATAAGGGTTGCGTTGCGTAGAAACTTGTGGTAAAGGTGGTAGATCTAACTGTGGATCCCCGCAAGATAGAGTGACCAGTGTAAGAAATAAACAGATTTGAACATATCCTTTGAGATCACAGGCCATGTTTGACTGGCCAGGTCTATTGTTTGTACAGCTACCAATGGTGCGTGGTGCTAGATTGCGCTCGCGTCGACAACTGTTCAGCCGATTGTCAGGGGCCGTGTGAATCAGCTTTGTTTCTTCGCTAAGTACTAAGTAAAGAAGACCTTGCGGTGCGTCACAGGGTAAGACGTAGACCTAAAAGGTTACATAAATAGTATTCTATTCTTGCAGGAGATAAGCAACACCGTATTTAATTCTTATAAGTAAAATTAACGATGTTTTTAATATTTTAATTTATATACATATACACAATAGTAAAAAATACTGGTATCTTTAGAAGGGTACAATAGTCAAGTAATTAATAGAATAAAGTACCTTTAATAAAAAATTAGCCAGGAGTCATGATATAGCAGTTTTTAAAGTAGCTCTTCTGTACATATAATAAAATTCTAACTAAGTCGAATCTGTACATTAAATATTTTTTGGGAAATCTAATTGATATAGACCTTATTATCGATACAGTCCGAATCTATATAGTATTTATAATTTTTGTCTGTCTGTCTGTCTGTCTGTCTCTCTGTTATCGTATCACGAGAAAACCACTGAACAGATTTTGATGAAATTTGGTATGATGATAGCTGGTTATCCGAGTCAACATATAGGATACTTTTTACCGCGGGAAAATATCTCATTTCTGAAAAAAAATTACAAAAACAGCATAGTAAGAGTATACTAATATGTAAAAACTAAGAATTTAGTTTTTGGTCATCTGAACGCGGAGTGAGCCGCGGGCAATGCTAGTTGCTTAATATAAATGAGAAATCCTTGATAAGAATTATTCGCAACAATGAATAGAACATAAGCCTCCATAAAGGTTATCAGATTGCTATTTTATATTACATTTTAGTTTAAATAAAACTATCGTCTCTTTTCTCTCCCGTGACCATGATTGCTGTAAAGCATTGGAAACGTCGGGAACTAAAAATCAAAATAAAGCCGCGAAAAAAGCCGATTACATAGTTATTTAAAATATCAAATATTTGGGTAAAACAAATAGTTTTTTAGTTTAGTTAATAATAATCAATGTTCTGTTTTTTTTTCGAAAACTCTACATCAGTTACTGTGTCGTATTATATATATATATATATATATATATATATATATATAAATATATCAATGAAAACATCAGTATCCATTTCTCACTATTTCTATACAAAAATGACATCGGATACTCGACCACTTTACCATCGCTACTTGAATAAATAATACAACAACAAACACTTAAAATTAGGTATAAGAAAAAGTGGGATATTTTATAACTTTTTACAACTTTCCAAAACTTCTGTTTTCCATATCCTGAAAAAAAAATTATATATTTGGTCTTCCCATAACCTATTCTAAAGTATAACCTACTCCAAGGGGCTGCCGTTAAAAATAAAACTGCTATTTGTTATATGGGGTGTTGACCTATATGGGATCTTGGGCAGCCTTATTTTTTTCTTAATATCTATTTGTTAATATTTTGTGACATTAAAGTGATAGTACACCGTGTGCTCTCTAAGAATATATATTTTTTTAATTTAAACATCAATTAAAATTATTTGGAGTTTGAGACGTATTTTCCAACTTTGAAGAAAACGTAATAATGATTATGCAAAGTACTTAACAGTTGCGGGTTTCATCATTACATCGTTTTACAATTAGTGTTAGGCTTTATGGTTTAAAATATATTATGAATAGGGTCAAGAGCCATTGCTGCACTGGTTTTCTACTATTGTTTAACCTAATTTTAATTTATTTTAAATAGCACTAAATTATCAGGCTAAAGCTATGGATATATAATTTGACCGATTTTTCAGCTTATATCTGACGATACGACAAGAGTTAATTAAAATTGCTTTATATACAACGTAAGTATGTATATTTATATGTCAAACAGGAACTGTAAAAAGATGATGGCAAAATATATTTTATTACTGCCATTTCCACAATTCTCTGCTCTTTTAGAAATATATTTATGAAATTCTATACGTAGTAAGTCAACATAACTATTTATGACAATTACTAGCGTTTTCCTGCGGCTCCGCCCGCATAGTACGATAGTCCGATCGGTTCAGTAGTTATCGCAGTATAACCGAACAAAAAAATTAGCTCTCCATTTATTAGTATATCTATCATTAAATAAAAATTCGTATTTTTTTTTCAAGAAGTAATATTTTTAAGAAGTTTTCTTATTTAAGAAAAAAATAGTTTTGAACTCATCATAAACACACAATGGTTTCATAATATTAAAGTAGGTACGCAGTTTTAGTCCACTATTTCCTTTAGTACAGTTCACGCCCTATTTCGTCACGTTATCGCTTTACTTTCGCTTCGTTATCGCTTTCTTTGCCAAGCCCCATCTATGACGATACTTGCTAGTTAAGTATACCTAAATTCTTATGGTCATTGCAGCTATATAGAATTATTCTATTCTATTTATTTATTTTTGTTTTTTTTTATTATATCAAAAATATAAAAAAAGGTCTATCAAAGGAGTTCTTATTTACAAATAAAAAGTATAAAAAATAAACATATTTGTACCTATATCTTATAATATTAAATGAGCAATTCATGCATATTAAATTATTTCGTGTACCTCAAAAACGGGTTTTACGCTTTAGATAAAAATTTTGTTTTTAAGATAATCTACATAGATATTTCTAAAAAAAAAAATTTTTTTAGAAAAAAATCTCTATGTTAAATATGTCAAAGCTAACATTATATATTAATACGTAAAGTCACATAAACAAAAACAAAATAATCTTAAATTTTCAGATAGATTAAACGCGGACGATTTAGATTAAGTTTTGTATTTATATATTAAGATTTTGCTTATTAAGTTAATCTATATAGGTTTTTCTAAAAAAACGCATTTTTTTACAAAATTAAACTATATAGCGCCATCTCGTAAATGATTGAGGTAGATGCATTGTCGCCGAGGGATGATAACCCAGTGAATTAGAGCCTACGCCGAGCGAATCTCGGTCGTCCAGATACATCTATTTATCTGTCTTAGCAAACTTCCAAATAAACTACTTTGTACAATGTACATATGTATAATAAACAAACATTAAGTTAGAGTTATATACTATAGTTTTAACTATGTAAATAACATTACATATACTAGTAACTCACTCTACCCTCACTTCACTCGGGTGCGTCCTTAGGTGGCCAAGGTGTAACTTCAGTACTAAAATTTAATGCTATCCAGCCGTTTCAGTATAAAGGATTTATAGATTGACACCTTAATTCGCAAGTCGGCTAAGTCGAAGGCTATCATCAATGGAAAATAAGTATTGCTACATACATATTTTTATAATGTAAAATTTTATGTTTTCCGAATTCGTCATATTATTGACAAAAAAACGTGTGTGTGTGTGTACTTATGTATGCACGTAAGAAGTTATACTTCTTTGGAGTAATGGAACAAAAATAGCTAAAGATTTCATCCAGTATGTCACAACTCTGTGTTTGTAAAAGGAATGCAGCAAACTTCATCATGTCGCATTCAGCCAACTTCATCATGTCCCTTTTTGGCTGTCGGTGTGCGCGCGCATCGTAAAAATTTTTCTCTCAGTTTTTTTCCAAACGTGCCAAAAGAAGTATAACTTCAATAATAACGTTTTTAGTATGACCTGAAAAGTGCACTGAAACGGAGTTAGCTAATTTTGCTAATTAATATATAGATATTCAAATGAAATATTTCAGATTTTGTCTTGTATATTTTGCGTTTCAATATAAGTATTAGTTTATGTGAAAGGAAAATTACATATTACTATTAGAAATAACAATAAAACAACGCGTTTTGCATGTTTTACAAAATCGTATTTAAATTGTGAATGTAATTTATTTAGTTTGAAATAGTCATTATTATCGATAAATAGGCCGAACCCTTAACTTTTAGTTTTTTTTCTGTCTGTTTGTCTGTCTAGGAACGCATAGCGAGAAAACCACTTGACAGATTTTAATGAAATTTGGTATGAGAATAACTGGTTATCCGGGTCGATATATAAAATACTTTTAACAGCGGGAAAATGTCGTATCTCTGAGAAATCTATACTAAACTTTAAAACGTAAGGCAGTGACGAACCCGAGCGGAGCGAGGTTAAATCGCTAGTATATTATAAATTTACATTTTGTTTTATTATGTTCAATACAAATAAATTTGCCATTTTAATTGTAATTTATTTCAAAAACGTGTTTTATATATTGCAGCCATTTATTTCAAAAATTGTGATAATTTATAATTCTAATTTATTTAAAAAATTATATATATTTTTGTTAAAAATGAATAAAATATTGAGATATAATATTATATTATTGTGAACAATCCTCCACATTTGTATTTAGTACTTCAAAGGTAATGGGTTCAAATAAAAAGACATGACACAATATTATACGTATTAGTACAGATATACAATACTCGTAGGTATACATATTATATTAAACATTTATTTCTAACAAAACACACAGATGACGCCTAACCAAATACCATTTTATTAACTAAATACTAGCGGTATATATATATATATACATTTTATAAAAACGTGTGCACTAAATTATGTGTCAGTAATTAAAAACTGTTCGTACATGGATAAGCAACTCATACAAACCTAATAACGTCTATAATACTCATGTGTCTAGTGGCTAGCATATACCGCTGTAGATACGGAGGTTTTGGGTTCACGTACCGGGTTGAGCCGAATATAGTTATGAGGTTTTTCTGTTGTTGTAATATTTATATTATAGTTATTATAGTTGTAAAATTGGTAGATATATTTTGTTTTTTGGTTCCCGACATTTCAAATGCTTTACAGCAATCATAGTCATTATGGTAGGTTATATTCATATGGTCATTATATGATTCAGATCCGTGAAGAAAACCGAAAAGATAGATTTATTTAAAATGTCAAATCCAGCAAAATGTTAATGTCCAACCAATTTAAATATATGTTAGTTATGTATCTTCGCTAATGCAATAAGAATTCTTCGAGATCACGCGTAACGTCTTGTCTTATGATAAATACATAATTTACCTATTGTGCTAGTTCGCTGTGGGAACGCTTGAGATAATTGCAAGGTGTTCATTATGTAACAGAACTTGCGTATTAAATGCAGAATTAAGGAAATAAAACTAGATAACGTTGGATATCTCATCTAAAAGGTATTAAAAATTGTTTTAAACAACGACTTTTGAGACTTCAAAGCTTCAAATTCTTTAAAATTAGATTATTATATACTTTGGATGAATTTGTTTGAGCTTAATCATTTCTAACCATATGTATAAACGAAATATGATAAAAAATATTTACTATATCAAGTCAATAGTAATATTTATTAAGATACATGGCACGAGCACAAATAGGTGAACGTTGTGATTTTTAAACCATAAGATTCAAAGCGAGAATGGACAGGTAGCAAGATAAATAAGCATTTCGCCTTTTTTACTGTTTTATTTATTGTTTTTATGTTTCTTTTAAATATTATATAATAGCGAATTATTTAATAGCGAATAGATAGATTACATACACAGGTATGATGACTTTTATATCACTTACTTAGGAAATGATTGATTCCCCATATAAACTTCCACCCCAATTTTCACCCCCTTTAAGAAATGATTTCCGGATGAAAACTATCCTATGTCCTTCCCAGGGTTTTAAAAATATCTCTATATCAAATTTCATCTAAATCGGCCCAGCCTGTTAAACGTAAAAAGGTAATAGACACCTCACTGTCGCATATATAATACTAGCGGCTGCCCCCCCTCGCTCGGATCCGTCGCTAGTGTAAAATAAATACAAATCTACTCCACGGGAAATGTACATTTTTCCAGGGTAAGAAGTAGCCTATATGCTGTTTCAGACTATATTCTATCTCTGTGCCAAATTTTATCCAGATCCGTTCCGCCGTTGTAGCGTGATTGAGTAACAAACATCCATCCATTCCAACTTTCGCATTTATATAGTAGTAAGATAAGATTAGTATGGATTTGTTGTAACACATTTTTTTTGTTATAATTAATATTCCACATGTGTCTTCAATTTATATCTTTATATTATGGCTACAATCACGAAATTAAACACAGTTTTTTCCGCACTAGCATCGCCCGCGGCTCCGCCCGCGTTCAGATGACTAAAAACCAAATTCTTAGGTTTTACATATTAGTATACTCACATTGCAGATTTTGTATTTTTTCTCAGAAATGAGACATTTTCCCGTGGTAAAAAGTATCCTATATGTTTACCCGGATAACCAGCTATCGCCATACCAAATTTCATCAACATCCCTCCAGTGGTTTTTCTGTGATGCGGTAACAGACAGACAGACAAAAATTCTAAAAACTATAGATTTGGCATCTGTATAGATATAAATGTCTATTTCAATAAGATTTTCCAAAAAATATTTAATGTACAGATTCGGCTTAGTTACAATTTTATTATATAGTCCTAAAATCAAAACAAATAACTCAGTGAGACAGATTCCCAAGACTTTCCTTGAGCATGCGTGTAATAAACATAAATAATGGTAGATATTGTGACGTATTATAAAGATTAGTATTAACATAGCATTCGGCCTTGAGTCATTACCCATGAGAGTCGTGCGCATAATGCATAGATATCATGTCATTATACAAGCTAGGAACAATTTGGTTACAATTTTAAGATCTACAATCATATAAATCAAAACCTTTAAAGGAGTGGAGGAAATTATATATAACCTCTGTTTATCTTTTAGTCTATCTATAAATAGACTAAAGTAGTCGATAGACTAAAATATATTCTATACATATTACATAGTTATGATATTAAAATCGTATCGTAATCGAGGGGTTGTGTCGATACATTAAGTATTTTTTGAGAATTCTTTTTAAATAATGTTTATCGATATAAATTATAAACCACAAAACAGATATTTAAAAAAGAATTTCGATGTGTGTTAATACGTTTGCGTTTCACGCAAAAGCTACTGAGCGGAGTTTGGACAAAAGTAGGTTGACTATATTACACCTCTATGCCTCGAGAGGCTCGTAAGGTCGATCCTACGTCTTAACTCTAACGAAGTATTATCCCATCGGGCTTTAAGTAAATAAATATGTTGGGACATTAACACATAGTACCATCTAGTTCCGTAGTAGGCTACGAGACTTGTGTTATGGATACCAGATAGTTGATACACTACACATATATAACTATAAATACATACATATTATAAATATAAACACCCATGACTGGAGTACAAACATTCGTGCTCATCACACGAATGAATCGGGAAAGAATACTTGTGCACTGTAATATCTCCTGCGCACGGCTAGGCGCAATGAGCTAGACCGGTCGCCGTTGACGAAATCAATCAAGAAAATAATTAATATCATATATGAAACCAATTCATGATACCTATGATGATGATTACCATACCTTATTAAAATACAGATTAAGGTATAAGGTCCATTTTCGAGAAATCGGTAAAAATACATAAAAAATACAGGCGAAAATTATTTTTAAATATGGTTAAATACAACATTATTGCAACACATTTGTTAATTTTAAACTAATTATCATCACTGTCTGAATTCATAAAATTCAATAAAATAAATCATTTAATTACCACCGGTTTTTAACTCACAAGTTTTTCTCTCACGGATTTTCAATTATTTAAGAGAATTCAACTTTGTTTGTTCTTTTGTCCATTTTCCCAGAACTTTTTAGCATATGACCAAAAGGCGGAACGGCTTTGGGTAAGTATAAAAATATTTTATAAATAATATAAGATAAAGCATTTGAATTATGGAATTTTTTTAACAAACATTTAGTTAATTTATTATACATATATATATATTAAATTATATTATTAATTATTTCTTTCTTACTAGGGACTTACACTTCTTTCGCTTACATAGTTTTAAGGTCTCTTTAATATTTATAATAATAGCGACTTACGCTCGCTCCGCTCGGGTTCGTCCCTACTTTCATTTTAACGTTTAGTATAGATTTCTGAGAGATGAGATATTTTCCCGCAGTAAAAAGTAAGTAATCAGCTACCATCGTACTAAATTTTATCAAAATCCCTTCAGTGGTTTTCTCGTGATGCGGTCTCTGTATCGATTTCAATAAGATTTTCCAAAAAATATTAAATATATAGATCCGACTGAGGTGACTCTGACTGAGGGTCTAGATGAAATAGTCAAGTAACTTAATAATTATTATCGTAAGACTGCTCAAAAATATGTTTTAAATAAACTTACTTAAAGAAAATCGATAGTTACGGGTTCAAACTCATTGTGAAATATATTAACAAGAACAAATAATTCCTACTGGTATAAAGAACATAATAGGGAATGTGCGTGATTTTTTTTTATACTATAGCTAACATCGTTATCTAATTAAGCTCTAAAAAACTAAAATTTCGTATAAAAAAAATATCATACCGATACGGATGTCGGATACTTTAAATACTCGCCATTTCTCACGCTTGGCGTGACGTCACAGTATGATACACAGAAAAATTATGACTCAATTTGTAACGACCAAATCGCTAATCACTCTGTTATGATAATACTCTGACGTCATATTCGTTCTGACCAACAGCGTGCGTTTTAACTACTTTAAATTACCCACCTACATATATTTGCACTTTCATAACATAATTATTTTCTTAATCAAAAAGATATTACATTAAAAAATATTAATATGGGCTTAATTCAAAAGTAATAAACATTTAAAAAAAAAATATTTCACCTTTATTTAAATCACACGCATATTCTCTATTATATCTTTATATATATATAATTCTTCTGTGAGTGTGTATGTCACTGAACTTCTCTCAAACGACTGGACCGATTTTGATGAAATTTTTTGTGTGTGTTCAAGGGGATCTGGGAATGGTTTAGATTCACAATTTGAATAATAATTTTCATCAAAAAAATTATTAAAAAAAGTTTGAAATTTTCAAATTAAAGACGTGTAGACAGGACAACGTCTGTCGGGTCCGCTAGTAGATATATATAATAGTGCTAAAACATTACTGGCTAGCGCTATGTGACCGTCACAGACTAAATAATTTCAATAGGAGGAAGTCTCACAATAGCTACCCTGACCCAATCGACAAATTGTTTGAAATCAGTAAAGAATTACGTGTTTTATGATATTATTCCACTCAGCCATGTTATATTTTATATTATAATACTAATATAATAAAGAAGTGAATGCAACTTAGAATATTGTATGTGTGTTAGTCCTTCACGCTTGGACGGCTGGACAGATATGGATGAGATTTAGCACACCGATAGACCTTGATTTGGACATAGGACATAGGTTATTGTTATGAATATAAATAAAAAAGCTATAAAGATAATAAATATTTTATTTACAACAATTACAATATATTCAAACAAAAGTAGGTAGGTACGAGTATATCCTATTGACCGACACGTTTATTTAAACTTTTGAGAAACTCTGAATCCGCCATAGCACTCTTTTGCTCGGGTGTGCAATATTCTGAAAAAAAAAGGTGTACAATTCAAGTTGTATGCGTCGAATATGTGATATTTCTAAACTTAAGTTCCATTAGAAAAACATAATATGTAAAATCGTTCTAATATTAATTTAATAAAAAATCTTATCTATATAAAAATATTATTAATCTGTCACTCCGTTGCTGTGTAAAAGTAGGACAAACTAACTAAAATTCATTTTAATAATTTCTCATACTAATATAAAGCTGAAAAAATCTATGGAAATAAATAAGCTACGCGAACAAAGCCGCGGTAAAAAATGTATACCAAAATAAGATTTTTTTTATCCATTTTGGATACTTACGAACAGTACTAGGCTCCCAACCGATATATTCTCCGGTACGTTCATTCTCTGCCTTCAACCACTCGTGCAGCGGCTCGAAGTACTCCAACACTCCGCTAGCGTCCATACGACGCTGACCCGTTAACACTTCCATCGCATCTGGCCAGGGCTTAGACGAACCGAGTTGTAACATTTTACTATAACACAGCAATTTTCATATTATGTTTAACGTTGAGTATAAATTTTTCAGAGATGAGATATTTTCCTGCAGTAAAAAGTAACCCATATGTTGACCAGGATAACCAGCTATCATCATACCAAATTTCACCAAAATCTGTCCAGTGGTTTTTTCGTGATACGTTCAGACAGACAAAAATTCTAAAAACTATAGATTCGGCCCCTGTATCGATAATAATGTCTATTTCAATAAGATTTTTCCAAAAAAATATATATTGTACAGATACGGCTCAGTTACAATTTTATTATATGTATAGAAATAAAGCATCAGATGATAACTTTTTATAATTAGTCTTATATATTTAATATATGAAAATTGTGACTACGTGACACAGTTCTACTTAGACGACACGACGAAGAAGTTAAGACGAATAGAGTAAATTTACATAGTAAAGAGTTTTTTTTGAATCAGCTCGTTAGTTTTAGAAAACATGCGCAATATATGTATTTGTTATTACTTTTAGCTAAAAAATGCGACATTAACTTAAAAATATTTTTCAATTCACCATTTTATTGTCTAGGTCTGGTCTACGGTCTCTCGAAATAAAAACTATTTGACAAAAAAAATGATATTAATTATATAGTTGGCAAAGGTCATGTATCTTTTTTGATATACACAAAAAACATATCTATATGCAAATTAAGTACCTTGTATTTTAAAGATGGACAGTAAAAATAAAGAAAAAAATATTATTTTGTTTTTTTTTTAATAATAATCTAGATGTAGAGAATATGTTCATATTTATAAAGAAAGTATAATATCTCACCCAAAAGCATTGCCAGCAGCCGTGCTCCTGTAAATATCGCAGTTAGAGAGCAACTTGTTAGAGTCCCCGGGAGAATACTCGCCTGCTATTTGACACAAAGATCGATGGAACTGGAACTGGATTATAAAGGAGATGTAATATCTGAAAAAAAAAATTTGAAAACATGTCAAATATGCTGTAAAATGCATCTAGATATTATTATAATTTAAAAAAATTGTACCAGCGGAAGCTTAGCAAAATGCTCATTGTCTCTAACTTCATTTCCTATTGAAGTTAACTTTCTTTTTGCTTAAATGAAAATTCTAGTCATATATTAAAGTCCGCAAGTCCTGGCTTCGAGTCCTGAGCCGATTCAAGTATAGCTATCGATTTTTTCTAATAAAAATTCTCAATATGACCCCGCTAGTGGGGAAATTGATCTTATTACACCACCGCCTTGCTCTTGAACTCGTAATTGTGGGGTTGTCTCATCCAACAATGAGAGTGAAAGCAACAGAGTCGCTATATAGGTTCGCCACATGCACTGCACTGCACCCACATAGACTTACGTACAGAAATCGATCGGGCCAACATTAATTTTGTAGCAAATTCCTAAATTGATACACTCAATTGTTTTCTTACCTCATATATTCTACATCAGCTGATACATGATATTTAGCTGCAGGATCAAAATCAGCTTCACTCCGAGGTGCAGGAGGCTCTACTCCTTGAAAAGCTTCTCTTAATTTCCAGAAATGACAATTATAGTCACTTTCAGTGGTAGTACCACGAAACACACCGTAACGGTAAAGGTCTAATAGATATGCGAATGGTAAGAACACTATTTTGTCTAAAATCTGAAAGTTGAAAGAAAAGAAGATAAATGTTTAAGTAATTGATTAATTACATCGAATCGATTTATGATTAAAGTATCGTTTCAAAAGCCTTATTTATATAATTTACATTGTTATATGTTAAATTAACTGATTAACCAAACAGACACTAACGTTGTGTCAGACAATTAACAAACAGAAATAAGACGTATTTTGTATATATTATTGATGAGTATTGCAAACATAAATAAATGTTACCATCTTATATAATTGGTTAATATTTGATTCTAAATCATCTGGTCCATCTTCAAGCAAACCCAAAACTCTCAAATGCTTAGGGGTGGATACTGATAGAGCCATCACATCACCGACCGCTTCATGGAACCCTGAAAACATTTTCAGTTTTAATCACTTCACTACTCATAAAGAAAATTTTAATGTTATTTAATATTTATTTTCAAGTTATTTAATATTTTATGACGACGCGTGTGGCTCAGTTTGTAGTGACCCTACTTGCTGTGCCAGCGGTCGCGGATTCGAGTCCCGCTGGGGGCATTCATTTGTGTGATGAGGACAAATGTTTGTACTCCAGTCATGGGTGTTTATATATATAATATGTATGTATTTAAAGTTATATATGTATAGTGTATCAATTATCTGGTATCCATAACACAAGCCTCGTAGCTTATCATGGAACTAGATGGTGCTGTGTGTCAATGTCCCAAAATATTTATTTATTTATTATTTATGTATTTATTTCCTTAAATCAAATTATGCTTCCTGTAACTCTCTACACTACGTATCTTATATGTACTATACTCTAATAATAATTTAGTTTTCCATATTCTGAAGATATGTTGATTTTGGTGAATGTGAACTAAAATTTGTCATAATTTGCTTAAGAAAAGTGCGTGTTGGGTGGCGAGCGCGAGAATGCGCGAAAAATGAGCTTTTTTTCTAAAGATTCTTAGTATAAAGATTATACTAGTATTTTATTACCACTTTTGTATCGTCAGCTCCATTTAATGAAAGAAGATTTAGTTTCCACGTGAGGAACTTAAATTTTAATTAACATAAGTAAAATACTTCCATACTAACCTGGGTTTGCTCCTGCTCTATAAATAACAGGCAAATCTTTATATTGCAAGTAGTATTGGATATGACCCATCTCGTGGTGAGTGGTTTTAAAGAATGCATTCGTGATAGTTGTACATTGCTTAATTCTAAAATAAAAACAATTATAAACACTATATTAATAAAAATTAAATTGCAAAAATATAATATTAAGCGACTGCGTAAAAACTGAAAAGTTAACTAAAAAAAATGCGAACAAGTTGAAAAAGAAATTTAGTATCTATGCTGTCGAAGACATACATAATATGTACATTGTACATACTTTAAACTTGCTGTAAGTCTTGCTACGTGTATGTACATACATAATACATATGTCTTCGTAAATTTTAAGTTTTTTTTAGTTATGGGTAATATAGGGTTCTTTCTACCTTTTGTCCATGTTAAAAAATTTTTGCACAATAAAGTATCAAGTAAATAAATATTTTTTTCAAACCTGAAATCCTCTCCATCAAAGAAATCCCACGCAGACGCGTGACACACCATGTCTCTACCATCATTGGGTTTTTCAATAATCGAGTTTTCCCAAAACGTATCAGGCATTCCACTTAAATTTAATGACTTGAAAAACTCTTCAGCTGTCTTAAAAATCTTTAATGGTGTGTAGTTCTGAAAAAATATAACTATAAGTACATTTATATTTTACCCTATAAATAAACTAAAATAGCAAAAGTTTGGATAAGCAGTAATAAATACACAGATTCACTTAAACACACAAATGGGAAGGCCCATTCATAACATTGAGTGAAACTATCTTTTCGGATTTTGTCGCGGATTTATTTGTATTTTTGTTTCCCGACGTTTCGAATGCTTTACAGCATCCATGGTCACGGGAGAGACTGAGGTGTTACATGTCTTAAAGATATAGTTGTTACAGACAGCCTACCCACAATTAACAAAATGAAAATTGCACCAAGTGGCAAGCCATTATATTCGCTTCGATAGGCCTCAAATCCTGGCGAAAGAAAACCGATATCGCCCTAGAATGATTCGAGAAGCCATAGAAATTAAAAAACATCCTAATTTCAATAGGGAAGATGGCTGGGTACTACCATCGTCATGGGATCCTGTTATTAATATAATAAAATCTAATAATAAATCTAAACATAACAGACAGGTAGATGTAGTAAGTTCTTACTGTGTAGATCAAAATGATAGCATTTCTGATTAATAATATTTTTTCACTTTTTCATTTGTAAATGTATGTAGTAATGTGTTGCTTAATAATTTGTTTTTAAATAATAGCAAATTTAAATTAAAATTATTATTTTTAATTAATCTTAACTTTTTCAAATTACACATAGATCAATTGTGGCTTAAATAATTAATACTATATTTTATATTTTTCTTATGGTTATAAATATAATAATGGCAGCACTAAATATAGATTGCTAATTAATATTTTTTAAAATTGTAATAATTATAAAAATAATAGCAAAAATTAAATAAATAATTTTCCATATTCAATTATAATTAAAATTATAAAAAAATATTTAAAGTTAAAATATTGTAATGTAGTTGGTGCAATTTTCATTTTGTTAATTGTGGGTAGGCTGTCTGTAACAACTATATCTTTAAGACATGTAACACCTCAGTCTCTCCCGTGACCATGGATGCTGTAAAGCATTCGAAACGTCGGGAAACAAAAATACAAATAAATCCGCGACAAAATCCGAAAAGATAGTTTTATTTAAAATGTCAAATATTCGCGTAAATCTAAGAAAGTAACATTGAGTGATTCATAAACAAACTATTTTTCAACATCACATATTTTCTCTTGCAATGGAAACTCGGACTTGTTGTATTGTACATTGCGAAAATTTGTATGTGTGTATAAACATACTTCTTCTCATTTTTTTATTCTTTTTCTTTATTTTTATTTTACTTTAAATTTGGGACATAGACTATGACCTAACATAGGCTACTGCCAATTACCTAGTGATACACCTGGCAGAAACAGAGGTCGAGTATCACGATAAAAATTGACATGGTCCAAAAATTTACTATGTCAAAATCGAATTCGCGATCTCTAAATATACTTAGTTAAACGGATACCTGGGCTATGAGTGCAGCTGTAACGTCAACTTCAGGTTTTTCAGGGTATGGTCTGGTGAACTTCTCCACATTATTCCAAGTTTGTGCCCAAATATTACCTGTATTAAAATTTTAAATTTTATTTTTTATCTTCTAACTAATTTTATATCATTTATTCGTCTTTAAGCCTGAGTCTTCAATACAGAAGCAAAGAAAAGAGAATCCAAATATTTTTTTTTCTTTTTTAACTAAATTGACACACAAAGTTCAAAATCACTATAAAATTCTAACGCCTTTAAGGATTCTCTCAGGTCTGATTTAATAAACTACTATGGTATCACCTTGACTTAATATCTATAAAAGTCTATTATGTGTGTTCAAATTCACAAGAAAATTCATATTAAATTCTACTTGCCCAATAAGTGAGCTGGTATAGGCCCTTTAGCGGATACAACATCATCTCCATATTTCAGCCTCAAGTGTCGTCTTACGTATGCATGTATCTGTTGATACAAAGGCTTGATCTGAGCCCACAGTGCAGCAAACTGATCCTCACTGTCTTCTTCTTCGTATTCACTTATCCACCACTCTGCTACATTGTCGTATCCTGAATTAAATAATTAATTTTTAAATGATATTCATTTTTTATATAAGACATAATGGTTTTGATGGGTTGTATGAAAGTAATTACCATTACCATGGAAATTACAAATTTTACTGTAAATAAAAACTTTTTAACAAAAAAATAAAAACCGACTTCAAACAAAAGCACTAAAAAGTAAAAAATAACTGATTGGTAGTTTTCATTTACTATACATACCTAATCAAATATTTTCGAAGTCGGTGTGCTTTGCGTTGTATGGGCTGGCACCGATTTCGAAAATATTTGATTAGGTATGTATGTATTTAATAGGTAGGCTTTGATTACTTAGCCAAAGCACACCGACTTCGAAAATATTTGATTAGGTATGTATAGTAAATGAAAACTACAAATCAGTTATTTTTTACTTTTTAGTGCTTTTGTTTGAAGTCGGTTTTTATTTTTTTGTTAAAAAGTTTTTATTTTTCCCTTTTTAGTGTAGACAGTAGTAGCAAAGTAAGAATTCTAACGTGTTAGGCTTGTCGAATCAAACAAAATAAGCCCAAACTCAAAGTATCTACTATTAGCTGTTGAAGAGTTCCACCTATCCACCTTCTGGTCTTACCATCAGATCAGGTCAACAATACCGAACCAATGTACTATCAACGGAAATAGAAACACTTGCAAAGTTTCAAGTCATTATGACAATTAGAAGTAGGTTAAATCCATCATTAGCTATTTTTCCACCCTTAGGGGTGGTATTTTTTTTTGAAATTTAAATGGGACCAATCTGGAAGTATACCCTTTCAAACAAAACAAAAATTGTCCAAATCGGTTAATAAATGACGAAGTTCTGAGGTAACAAACATAAAAAAAAAAAAAAAAAAAAAAACAAAAAAAAAATACAGTCGAATTGAGAACCTCCTCCTTTTTGAAGTCGGTTGAAAAGTTCAAATATATAGAATCTCATCGTTTTCACTTTATTTATACTAATATTATAAAGAAGTAAATTTTGTCAGTTTGTGTGGTTAGGTAATCTCTGGATCTACTGAACGGATGAAATTTGATTAGAAAATCGTTTGTGACCCTGGGAAAGATGTAGGATAGTTTTTATCAGAAAAATCATCCCATAAGGGGTTGAAAATGGGGGTGAATGTTTGTATGGGGAATCAACCTAGAACGGGGACGAAATTCGCTAGTAAAAAGTTAATGTTTGGTTATATTTTATTAATTCATGCATAGATTATTTTAAAAGAGAGCAGCATTATAAGTAGAGCCTTACGGAAGCTAAGAATCACTTACTCGTGTTATTTATAATTTTGTTTTCTGCTTTTATAAATATTACTAATAGCCATTAAGGAGTTCTATTACCATACTTGCTCCATCAGATCAGCTCCATAATATCAAATTATCGTATTATCATTCGAATTTCAAAGTTTAAAAAAATACGACATTTAGGAACAATTTAAAATGGACATCGAAGATTTGATAACATGCTCTTGTATTGAGAACCTAATAAAAACATATTAAAGTATTTCATTGTTAATAAGACGGAGTATGTGTGCAGTCCTTTTAGACGTCCCACTGCGAGCCACTGGCCTCCCTTCAATATGAGGAGGATCAAGCCATAGTCCACCACGTTGGCCCAGTATGGGTTACCGGACATAATTACCATTTAATTTAGCAGCTTCGTTGTTCATATTGACGTACTCGGTAAAGTTCCCTTTGGACGCGGCACCAGCTACTTTGTGCCACTCTAACCACGTATATTTAAGCTCTTCGGGATCATCGCTCGTAGAAAAAACGTTGGTTACATCTGAAATATTAAATTTTACTTCTTTTAGTAATCAAATGAACTGTCGTAATTTAGTTTACGAAGCTGTATTTTCATTATTTAAATTAAATCATTGAGGTGGTTGTACATTACGCCAAACCTTTTTTGAAAGCTTAACCAACAAAATAAGTAATAATGAAACCAGTCAATTCTGGAGGTTTGCAAAGATACCGGGCAACAATAGTCACAAAAATACTTATAATATCACATATTCTTAAAAAATAAAATAGAATTATGTATTTACCTGGTTCGACATATAAGTCACATTTTGATCGATCTTTATAATCACAGATAGTTGCTTTGGCGTAAGTTGTTTTCATGTTATTGATCGCTTGAATTAATCTCTGGTTCAAATCCTCTGGTAAAGCAGAAGTTCCCAATCGCGAATACTTCTCAAACATTCTCCTAAGATCAGGATCTTCGAATTCGTGCCAGAGGTAAGTCATTGTTTCTTTCCAATTTTCTTTTTCTTCTTCAGCTACTTCGAGCGCAACTTGTAACTAAAAATAAAAATAAATACAAATAATCATAATAAAAAACGCTTCAATTAAATGTTGTTATTTAATATAATAATGTGTTTTTGTCTAAATAAAAATATTTCATAACTTTCATGACCCACCGGGATCTAAAATATCATAATTACCGCCAATTTTAAGACATTCCTTTTATTCAGTATCGTCAAATAAACAATTGTACTATTAAGAATTTCTAGCGCTGCTAACATTAATACTTTACGTATGTATATAGAAAATACCTGTTTCTCCTCATTGTAAGCTGTTATATTAGACTCATAGTTCCAAGACGCTATAGTCCTTTTATTTTTAGCCTTAGATGTGATTTCGTCAAGAGTCCGCATGTATTCTCGACCAGCTGCTTCTTCAGCAGCTCTTTCGGCTGCACGTCCTTGAGCTGCCACTATGAAGACTGAGGCAATAGCCCCAACTAGGGCCAACTCAACGAAAATCTTCAGCATTATCTGGAATAATTTATTATTATTAGACTACGTGATAGCGTGGTAAGACGTTTGTTTAGGAAATCGAGTGGGTTCAAATCCCGGGTCTTGCATTTCTGATATTTTCATGTACGAATCCATCATGATTACTACTTGTGTTACCACAGTGAAGGAAAAAATCTTGAGGAAACTAGCATAACCAAAGTATTCAGTTATAATGGCTGACTATTCAATTATTCTAAAATGGTTATTTCAAAAAGAACATATAATCGTATGATTCTATCCAATAAAATAAAATTGAAGTATCTGTTTGTAATGTCAAAATAACAGCTTTTTACTAAATGCATGTGGAAGTATACACGGCACTTATAAGAAAAAACTATTTTTGTAATTTTTGTCGTTCTATTTGTTCCGGCTAATCTTCGAAATGGCTTAACCGGTTTGATGAGATTTTCACTGGCAGATAGCTGATGAGTAACTTAGGCTACTTTTATTTTAGAAAAAGAATTAGGAGTCCGCGCAAAAAAATTAAACCCCATAAAATTGTGAACAAAGTCCGTGTACTGGGAGATGCAACCGAGTTAAGCGAGTGTAAGGCGCTCATAAATATAAATATATATATATATATATATATATATATATATATATATATATACAATTATAAGATAATTTATTTGATGGTACACAAATAAATGTGAAAATAAAGATTACTTTTTCTAATATTTTTTCCTATTTCTAAACACAATCCACTGAACTTAACTAAATGAGATCCATAAATAAAATCCATGACCATAAATAGTCAGTAAACAAATAAAAACTTACGCCCAAGCAGGTCAAGGTATTCGAACAAAAAGATTACAAGGATGTCAGCAGGTCAGGACAAGTGTATTATTTAGCATATTAGAAAATTAAGTTAGGTTACATTCGTGAGATATCTTTTATCTTTCCCTTTTAAATTAATTGTCTTTTTTAATTTTATTAGGAACTAGCATTGCTCGCCGCTCCGCCCGCGTTTAGATGTCCAACAACCAAAGTCTTAGGTTTTTCATATTAGTATACTCTTACAATGCAGTTTTTGTATTTTTTTCTCAGAAATGAGATATTTTCCCGCGGTAAAAAGTAACCTATATGTTGACCCGGATAACCAGCTTTCATCATACAAATTTCATCAAAATCTGTCCAGTGGTATTCTCGTGATGCGGTAACAGACAGACAGATAGATAGACAAAAATTCTAAAAACTATAGATTCGAACTCTTTATCGATAATAATGTCTATTTCAATTAGATTTTCCAAAAAATATTTAATATACAGATTCGACTTACAATTTTATTATATGTATAGACTAGTGACTCACCCTCGCTCCGTTCAGTTTTCATGACTATTGTTCCAATAAATACATTATGACTTAATTAATATATATAATACATGGATGAATTTAGTTTCTTTCTTTTTATCTATTGTAAAATAAATTCTATTACATTGTTTTTTTGCTACTTTATTTATTAATAATAATAGTATGTTTATTGGTGTTTATTTCAATGCTTTTTATTCCTCTGAAAGGAATTGTATATTACAAAGAAAAAATTAAAACATTCTATACCTAAGTATGAATTATTCTTTTAAGATATATTGAAATTGGTATAATTCAATAACTAAAAACTAAAAAATTAATATAAATGAAAAAAAAACAAAATTTTATATCATATAAATTTTGTATATATTGTCTGCTTCTAAAAGAAGAACAGAAAAAATGGGTTTGATTTACCTTAAAGTTTATTTTTGATTTTTTTAATTATTAATTCGTATTCTTTTTAGCAAACTCTTTCATGATTAATATCCACATCTTGGGGGCGCATAAAAAAACATAGTCCACCATCGTTGGGAGTCCGCCATGTTGGATTTAGAATGACGTCACTTGTCAAACCATGCATTGTCATATAAACTAAACGTGTATGCAAAAAAGCAAAATCGGTTGAGGATAACTGCTTTAAAATTCAATTGCAAGATTTGACTCGAACAAACATACATACAAACCTTGCAAGTTAAATAAAAGATTGTAAAAATTAATCATATGATATGTAAAAGGAGTTAATTATTGCTTTTAATGACTTTGGCTAGAACTTCTACAAGTAGGGTATAGAGACATAGTTATGACGCTCAAAACATCAGACTAAAAATAATATCACTGTACCATTATGAAGATAAATAAATAAATATGTTGGGATATTAACACACAGCACCATCTAGTTCCATGGTAAGCTACGAGGCTTGTATTTTAAATACCAGATAGTTGATACACTACACATGTATAACTTTAAATAAATATATATTATAAATATAAACACCCATGACTGGAGTACAAACATTCGTGCCTATTACACAAATGAATGCCCCCAGCGGATCTCGAACCCGCGACCGCTGGCGCAGCAAGTAGAGTCACTACAAACTGGACCAAATGTGTTGTGATTATTTCAAGTTACGATACAATTTACTATTTATTTGTTAATATCATTATGAGTGACATATCTGATAAATTCAAAAGGCTGCACTCAGGTAAAATGTTTGATATATGAACCTAAAAACATTTTGATAGCAACGATAAAGATTAAGCAACCTGTCAATAAACAATTTGGTAGATCTTACCAATATGAAGAGAATTTGTTTGTTTATTTATATAGATCAAAAAACAATAATCAGGAATTTCCTATTTTAGTCTCCCTATTGGATCGCCGACGCCTAAAGGATGAACTTTTTCTATTTAAAATTATCAGAAATCATGTGCATTCACCATTAATAAAATAAATACCACGTAATTTGTCATTATTTTATCTACCTAGAATAACAACTAATTATGCACGTAATAGCTTTATATACCGTTCTTGCAGATTGCATAATGAAATATTTAATGACATAGATTTATTTTCCCTTTCTTTACATAAGTTCAAAATTTTAACCAGAAGTGTCTGTTCGTGATTTTCCCGTTTTTTGTTATATACTTTAATGTATATATATATATAATCTAAGGAACTGGTTTTAAAAATTCTTTTTCTAAAAGAAAATTACTGAATATTAGCATGTGGATTAATTTTTTTTGACATTAACACACAGCACCATCTAGCCCATGGTAAGCTACGAGGCTTGTGTTATGGATACCAGATAGTTAATACACTCACTACATACATGTAACTTTAAATACATACATATTATAAATATAAACACCCATGAGTGGAGTACAAACATTCGTGCTCATTACACAAATGAATGCCCCTAGCGGGACTTGAACCCGGGACCGCTGTCACAGCAAGTAGGGTCACTACATACTGAGCCAAACGTGTCAACTGAACCAAACGTGTCGTCTAAACTAAAAATAAATAAATATATACAAAGTGAATATTTTGCAAAACTTTTGCCTTCTTAACACATCCTAATACTAATTGGAACAAACCTTATATAAAAGCACTAGTGACTCACCCTCACTTTGTTCGGGTTTTCCCTAGTTACGCTTTAACGGTTAGTATGGAATAGAAAGAATATATGTTATATGATAAATATAGCCTATAGCCTTCCTCAATAAACGGGCTATCTAATGCAAAAAGATTTTTTTAAATCGGGTTAGTAGTTCCCGAGATCAGCGCGTACAAACAAACAAACTCTGCCTCTTCGTTAGACACATTTTCAAACAAATAATCTTTTTCCGATAGAGAAAATTCCAATTTACTTACAAATAAAATCTTTCTAGCTGTCTCCGAGCAATATCCACAAGGCATTTTACATTAACACTAAATACTTTAAACTCTTGAAACATACTAAAATTATTTTCTAACTACGAACCATTTGTTTATATGCAAATGAATTAGTACGTTAGCCTGTTTTTCATGGTTGTAACAATTAGCCTTTGTCGACTTAAGCTGAAGCCAATGTTAACCATATCAAATTTGAGTCAAATTGCTGTCACTTTAAAGCTAAATGAATAAAAATTATGACTTATTTGACTTAGGCCCTACATATTTAGACCATTCAACGCGTATTCTTTGCAAACGTTTAGGCAGTGGTAGCCCAGTGGTTACGTACTCGCTAGAAAAAAAAGTGAAGCGGGTTCAAATCCCGAGTTTCGCACCTCTGTTATTCTCATGTGCGAATTACTTGATTACTATTTGCCTTACGATGAAGGAAACCCACATATCTGAAAGAACTTAGCAAGTTTTGGAAAGGCATGTGAAATTCGCCAACCTGAATTTGGGCAGCGTATAAACTATGGCCTGAATTATAATTATTATCGGAATATAACAGTTCTTTAATTTATCTATGAATTACTAACACAAAACAAACCATATCAAATCGGGTCAGCCGATTTACTACAGCAAGTATATCTGAACAAATACACGAACGGTTATTCAAATAAAATGAATTTACACCCTTCAAAGGCCTTTTGACTTTCATTCATTGGTTGGAATGACTTTTAGACGAACACACATTTGAATTGGGGCTTGAATGAGTTTTAAACGAGCGCAATTTTATCTCATTGTCAAGAACACAAGATGATAGAGTAATTTTATTTTCTCTATACATATAAAAAAAATTGTAACTAAGCTGAATCTGTTCATTAAATATTTTTTGGAAAATATTATTGAAATAGATATTATTATCGATACTCTGAGGCCGAATCTATAGTTTTTACAATTTTTTTCTGACTGTCTGTCTGTTAGTGACCGCTTCATGGAAAAACCACTGGAGGGATTTTCATGAAATTACACGTACCAAACTTCAGCAATATAGCTTCAATAGTAAACGTAAAATTATTGATAGATGAACAGACGGACAAGACGAAATTATAAGTATCCCTTAATTGCAATTTGGCTACCCTAAAAAGGATATTACAATTTAACTAAAACTATCTTTTCGGATTTTCTCGTGGATTTATTTTGATTTTTGATTCCCGACCTTCGAATGCTTAACAGCAATCATGGTCTCTGTCGTGACGTGAAATAATTCGAAACGATAGTTTTATTTAAAGTGTCAAATATTCGCGTAAATCTAAGAAAGTATTATTAAAGGGCATTACAATGTTATAAATACATCAAACTCGAGGCAGAAGACGTCTTAACATAACACACTTTAAACATAACTTATATTACATATAATCACCCAATTGAATAATTTCGTAGCATTTCGACTTTACATTTGTATAAAAGTACTTACCAAAGTAGTCCTATGCACTGCACCAGCCGAGATAGACACTCGACTATACAAGATAACTACGTGATACTTGTTTTATACGATAATCTGTTCAATGATAAAAACGTCCGGCCAATACTTTTATCTGTCTTGAGTAGATCTTCTAAGCTGTATATATTGTCATCCGTAGTAACACAGCATCTTACTAATATATTAAAAATTCTAGAAAAATGCATTCATTTCTCTTCGCTCCTCACTATGCTTCGTGCAAAAAAACTTATAAAATCTCGATTTTAATAGCCATATTTATGATCTTGCTGTTTATACGAAAAACTTGTTTTCGCTACAACTACATCTTATACTCTAGCTTAGTTTAATAAATATTTTATGCATGTAAGTAAATTACTAATACTGCCATAGTATTATGCCATTTATATGTTCTATAATATAATCCAAAAAAATGCGCTAATCTAACCCTTTTATCCCAATCCCACAAATTTCAAGCGATCAAAATAAAGGTTCTGTAAAATTAAGCCTAAAAGTAATTAATATTTCGACTTCTATAATGAATGTTGCATGTATAACAATAACTTCCTTTTTGTTGCAGCTATAGATACTATATACGAAAAATAGTTATTACAAAAGTTGTTTGATATTAAATTTCCTACAATTTTGATTCTTATAATTTTTTTCCTAGGATCGATATTTTTCGATTTATACCCGAAAAGAGAGGGTCAATTTTTATTTATTGATCAACTCGTTTATTTTCAATTTTACACCAAAATTTGTAATAAACAAAGTTGTTTAAAATCCAATTTTCTACAATTTTTGTTCTTATCAATTTTTTCGTAGGATCGATATTTTTCGTTTTATACCTGAGCAAAGGAGGTGGTAAAATCTTATCATTGTATTATCCCTATTATTGATTTTTCGCGTAAAATGGAAAATAAACGAGTTATTCAATAAACAAAAATCAACCCTTAAAATCAAGATGGCGGATGACGCAACGAAAATCTAAATTTAGATTACCAGTGAACCCCTCAAAGAATTCCGAAGGAAAATTGCTGATAGAAATTTTTACAATGTTCGCCCCTTTTGTGAGCTAATTCGACTGGGCTATAGGGAACGTGCATAAACTAAATCAATCAAAAAAACAAAAGAGACACTAAGCGGACAGTTAAAGGAACTTAACAGACCTTTTACCTTTTTTTCGTGTTTTCAATTATGTAAACAAAATTATCTCTTCAACTACATTATTTTTGAATATGATAAAAGTTATAAAATATGGGTTCCGGTCTGCGATTAACCGATGATACAGTCCTCATGGCAGAGACTCGGATTTGGAAGAAATGCTAAACAGCCTAAATGATTCTTCAAGACGGATGGGTCTCTGGTTGAATCTCGACAAGACCAAAATCATGTCGAATTGTCATGTATCTCCGAGATTAGTGGTCGAGAATGGGTCTGCTCTTCATGTTGTGCAGAGATATTATGGCCGTTGCAGCAATACTAGATTATTTCAATGTATTTTATTGAAATAGCAATAAAATTCGTGCACATCATTGTATTTTTAATGTCACTACTTTCTTACTTTTACAAATATCTATCAAAAACGTAATTTATAAAAAGATCTTAATCAAAAATAGAAAAGTATAAAAAGGATGTGTGTATATACACACACATCCTTTTATTATATATATTTGTGTGCCTACAACGTATATTTTGGCCAAACTATACGATTCATCCGGCACAACTTTGAGGCTTTTGGGAAGCTACGTTCTATGCTAGTCATCGATCCCACAATTCCTTAAAAGAAGGGTATCTAACCATTACAGGTAGGACGCATCCTACCCGTAATGACCCGTAAAATAAAACACACATTATAAAACAAATTTTATTGAATACTGTTTACTATTAAACTAATAAGTACTGTCACGAGTCGCGCACGCCTTCCGCCTCAAGCGCCGCTCTTTGTTCCGCACTGCAGTATTCTGAAATAAAAATATTGTATATATTTACATATATTTTGCATAAAAAATCTCATCATAATAGAAATATATCATATTTAGAATAATGCGTGGTAATGAGTGCCCTCCTGACAGATGCCATACCAATCGCGGCCAATCTCATTTGGACCATCTGCGCAGAATTTATTATAGGGATCTAAAGTGTGCGCAGACACAAGTACAGTATCTATTCTTTTCACTTTCAACATCCAGTGAGACAACAAATGGACACGGCCGGAGAGAATAGGTAACAGACCGACAATAGTTATCAGTAACTCCAAATCGCTTTGGTTAACTGTTATACAAAGAACTCGTTAAAGTCCAATGGTAATTAAAGAGTTTGACAATCCATATCTTGGCTTCATCGTCAAATTAAAGCAGTGAATTTAAATTACTGTAATATTATCCAGATTCTATTAACTAGCTACTTATCAACGCTCGGATGCCTAATAACCTAAGTATTGCAACGGTGTATATATAGTCTATCTATGAATGTTGCATGCAATCAGTCCAGGTGTTTCTGCATAAAGAATCCTTGGCGATCATTCATATGTCTTAATTGTATAAATATCTTGGGTCATTAGAACACTGCACCATCTATTTCCATGGTAAGCTACGAGGCTTGTTTATGGATACCAGATAGTTGATACACTACACATATATAACTTTAAATACATACATGGGTATTTCTATAATATTTGGCATGTCTTTAGTCATAAGAGTATGTTGAATAGAGCCAAAAATGAAAATTATTTTGGCCAGATTAATCAGATGAAGGACGCAATCTCGGAGAAATACCCACATATTATAAATATAAACACCCATGACTAGAGTACAAACATTCCTACTCATCACACAAATGGATGCCCCCAGTGGGACTCGAACCTGCGACCGCTAGCATAGCAAGTAAAGCCACTACAAACTGAGCCAAACGTGTCGTCTAAGAAGTAATCATATACGTATATACATGAACATAAACTTTGACATATATAATAACACTAGCGACTCACTCTCGCTTCGCTCTGGTTCGTCCCTAGGTTGATTCCCCATACAAACTTTAATCCCCATTTTCAGCCCCTTACGAGATGATTTCAGAGGTAAAAAGTATCCTATGTCCTTCCCAGGTTCTCAAACTATCTTCTTACCGAATTTCATCTAAATCGGCTCAATAGATCCAGATATTACCCCCTACAACGTCACAAACTCATAAACTTTACATCTTTATAATTTTATAATATAGATGAAAAATAAAAACAACTCACGTATCTTGCTAGGCTCCCATCCGATAAACTCTCCGGTCCGTTGGTTCTCCGCCTCCAGCCACTCGTGCAGCGGCCGGAAGTACTCGAGCAGGCCGTCGGCGCGCATCGCCCGCTGCCCCGTCAGGGCCTCCATCGCGTCCGGCCACGGCTTGGAAGAACCCATTTTGAGCATGTTCCTGGGTATTGATAGGGAATGTTCGTACATAAATGTTAATCAAGAACGTTTACGTTGTCATCGCCTTATCTCAAGCAATGAATATAACTTCCCTGTAAAGAATGGTCTGAAAAATATTTATCTGACTGACTCCTATATGTAAAAGGACTGTATTTAAAAGGTAATAAAGGTTGATAAACGTATAAGAATAATGCAAAAATGTACAAGGTACAACCCCAGACAAGGTTTCGCTTAGCGTTCTGCTCACATAATAATTAGAAAATAGAAAATAGCCTAATTTTAATCCAGAACAAAAATTCACTGGTGCCGTTACAGCATAGAGAAATACTCACTAATTCACTCAAAAACGATCATCTTTATGACATTAGCGATTTTTCTCTTTTCGCTTGAGTCGCATGTGCCTTAACTAACAAGCGTTTGCGCTACTCCAGATGATATTCTATCTGAATACTAAACATCCAAATCCATCTAGCCGATTCAGTGTAAAGGAGTATCTAACAAACAAACATACACACAAACATTCGCATTTATATACATAGTCTGATGATATATGTAACTAACGCAAGTGCATTCCCCGCGTGCACGCTCTGGTATATGTCGCAGTCGACGAGCTTGCGCGTGACGTCGCCGGGCGCGTACTCGCCCGCCAGCTGGCACAGCGCGCGGTGGAACTGGAACTGGATTATGAACGACACGTAGTATCTGAAATGATAGAATATTGTATCGGTTATATTATGCCGAAACAAAATTTATTGCGTGTTTATTAAATTTATTACAAAATATATCGGAAAATTACATTAAAACTTTGTGTATAAGTATAAAAAAATGTTTTAAAACAAAACAATATAGAATGGTTGATGTCAGGCAGGCGTGAGGCGGCCGGTCGGTTATTTTTGCTAGTTCTAAGAAGCTATTCTCCTGATGTATCATTTTTGAAACTGATAGAAGAGTTTAGTCTGAGCCTTTCTAATTTCAGTTTTAACAATTTAAACATGTAAGTTTTACATAACATGAACAGTTTTATAACCATGCAACGTTCAATCACACTAACTTGATATGGCATATTTGTGTTTGCTTATCCCAAATATATGTAAATCTTTCAAAAGAGGCATGACATATATGCAGATATTTATCCCAATATGTTAAGGACAATGCACGACGTAACGCTTTAGACATTTTGGTTCACGCATGAACCATTAAAAAAAATCATTACATGATACAGTATGGAAGGCTACAGCCACTTTACGTGGAAATTTTATTATAATGTACTTCACCGGTCTGATTAGTGCGTAGTGTAAACAGACTATTCATAATACGCATCCACCATGTTCAAGTGTTCCTAAAGACACAACAACTTCAAAGGCTTCAAACTTCAAAAAAAATCTCACCTCGCGTATTCAACATCAGCAGATACATGGTATTTAGCAGCCGCATCAAAGTCTTCTTCACTCCTCGGTACGGGAGGTTCCACTCCTTGTAGCGAATCGCGGAGCCTCCAATAGTGGCAGTTGTAGTCGTCAGGCGTGGTATTACCTCGGAACACGCCGTAGCGGAACAGATCCAGCGTGTAGGCGAATGGCAGGAATACTATCTTATCTATACCCTGAAAGTATTATAATTTAGGTTTCTAATTTTTCTGTGCAAGAGAACTTTTGCCCAACTTATAAAATAGAGTTTCTCAATTCGAATATTTTTTATTGTGCATACGACGTACTCAAATTTTCAATATGTGTGTCACGTGATGTACTAGCCAATTATGAACTGATTCCCATGATATTATGTTATCATTATAGAATGTATAGGTAATAATGACCTCTTGATCGATAATAACCTCGGTGACCAATCTCACTGAGAAGCCATGTAGCAGGAGATATAATAGTGCACAAAGGTGCGCCCAAGCAAAAAAATCCCTCTCTTTTCCTTTAAATTCGGATGGGAGAATACTGGCACCCAACCGGTAAGAAATTAAGAACCGAATGCCAACTTCTCAACTTCGGGCTTCTATTGAGAATTTCTTACAGAAAAACTCAATAATTACATACACTGGACCCGTCCCAAGATTCGAACCCATGGATCAGCAGCTATAGGTACATGTTAACCAATAAACTTTAGATGAAAACAACAATGATTATAATTAGTATATACAAAAAAAAACCGAATTAGCCAAAACAATTTACCAACCATTTTATAAAGCTGATTTATCTCAGTCTGTTCGTCTTCCGCATCGCCGCTAATAAGCCCCACTCTGCGCAAATGTTTAGGAGATGACACCGACAAAGCTATCGTATCTCCCACGGCCTCGTGGAAACCTTAAACAGTATAGACAAAATTTATTATAGTTATTATAATACAGGGTATGTTTTTTTAACATGACAATGATTAAACACAATGTTAGTGATACTTTCTTAGATTTACGGGAATATTTGACATTTTAAATAAAACTATCTTTTTGGATTATTCCGCGGATTTATTTTGATTTTTGGTTCCCGACGTTTCGAATGCTTTACAGCAATCATGGATACGGGAGAGACTAAGGTTTTAAACATCTCAAAGGCGTTATATACTTGTTACAGACAATGCACTGTCTGTGATAAGAAATAATCCGAAAAGATTTATTATTTTTATTTACAATGTTAGTGATGTAAAAAGATTAAATTTTTCAAAATTATGGTTCTTGATAGCAATACACAGTGAATGAGAACGATACTGGGAGTACTTTCATTTGAAAATCTTGTTGTAAAACAAAAATAATTATAGTTTCTCAATGAGTTTCACCGTATGTTTAAATAATTAAATTAAAATATTATATAGAAAAATAAAAAAATATATAAATAAAAAAGGTACTACAAAGTATAATATTTTGATGTTAGATCGCGCTTGTATAAAATCAAATAAAAATGGAATCCTACAAAAACAATCGGCCAAACGCTTATAACCTTTTTTTTGTAAGTCGATAAATAATTCGCCTTATAGATTAGTAAAAATACGGAAATAAAAAAACTATTTATCACGAAAAATAATACGAATTCCTTACATTTTCTACGAGCAAGGCGCATAAAATAGTAAGAATTCTAATTAAATAAAATACAAGAATGTTAATTTTAATTTAAAAAAATAAAATAAATAGTTAAAATATGCCAGTCATATCAACGGTGAATTGTAACGTTCTACCGTGTTAATTAGTGTATTATTCTTAAATATTATAAATGTTACGGTTTCGGATTTTTATGTATGTACAAATAAATATAAATAGAATAATAATGACATGCCACAAGTAATGTATATCCGTATTTTATATTATTTCGTTATTGTGCCAAATTAATAAGAAAAGTACCCACATATTTTTATGAGACAATGGATACCTAAATGTGATATTAATTAAAAAAACATCGATACCTTGTGTTAGTGGCCTATATCTAATTAGCCCAATTACAGGTTCGATTTTCATACAAACGAATTTCTCCACAATTTCTTTTGCACCATTACATTTTTTAATGTAATCAACAAGCTCTTAACAATAACTTCGGTTAGTCACAAGACAAAAGTCACCTGGATTCGCTCCATTCCGAAAAACGAAAGGCAAATGTCTATACTGCAAATAATATTGTATATGACCCATCTCATGATGTATGACTTTTAAGTTCACAGCGTCCACTGTTGTACACATTTTGATTCTGTAAACTTATACATATTTCATTACCTGGATTCGCTCCATCTCTGAATACAACGGGCTGATCTTTGTATTGCAAGAAGTATTGAACATGCCCCATTTCGTGGTGCGTTGTTTGAAAATACTCGTAATCAACTGTCGAACACTGTTTGATCCTTCAAATTAAGCCAGACATGTAAGATAAAGGAATTTGGAAAATACCGTCACCAATTTTCTTTGTGCACTACTTAAAAAGGCAAGCTTCAATACCACGTAGCCATTTGAAATAAGGCAAAAGTAACAAAAAGCGAAAAAAAACTTATCTAATTACATTTAATTATTATGTATTGAAAAAAAAACTTAACATCATCAGTAAATGGCATATCTGCTAGTATTAGTAGCTATATTATCAAAATGTCAGCGCAAAAACAGATAATTGACGAGATCTAAAAAATTATAAAAATGTCTCCACAGTACCATAAACGTTGTTACTCTTGACTGATAGTTTTTTCATACTAAATTATCAATTAGGCCACTTTTGCGCTGAAATTTTGAAACTAATGCAGAACTTCCTTAAATATTAAAAGGATACAATGCTCACCTAAAATCTTCTCCATCGTAAAAGTCCCAAGCAGACGCGTGACAAACAATTTCCCTATCCGTAGGCTTCTCAATGATGGAATTCTTCCAGAACTTTTCCGGCATTGCCGTCAAATTGAGAGATCTGAAGAATTCGTCTGACATTTGGAACATTTTTAATGGCGTGTAGTTTTGATCCTTCATTGTTTTCGTTATATCTATCTCCTTCTTATCAGGATATGGTCGGGTGAATGATTCTATGTTGGTCCATGTTTGAGCCCACATGTTACCTGAAGTCGTAAGTTATAGCTACTTTTACTGTTTAATTCTTATAGCTTTTTATTACTTATTAATTTATTATGTTAAATAATGTTTGTTTAAGATATTTGAAGTATTATTACAATATAAAAAATATTAAATCGAACAACAATAAGAAATATATTGTCTCGTAAAATACCCAAAAAATCCAAAAAAAAAAATAAGTTCGTTAAATTTCTTTTCTTTCGTTCGTCATAAATCAGTCAAAATTATTAAACATAAAATTACCCAACAAATGCGCAGGAATAGGCCCTCTCGCAGAGACTATGCCTTCACCGTACTTGTCTCGCAAACGTTTTCTCACATACGCGTGTAACTGTTGGTAAAGCGGCTTAACATCCTCCCATAACTTTGCTAATTGTTGCTCAAAATCTGGTACTTCATATTCTGACTGCCACCATTCGGCTACATCTTTGAAACCTGAAAAAAATAATATTTAAAATAGATAAGAATAAGAAACCTATTGTAGATCCTCATACCTTCAGCACTAATATTCATAATGTTCTCGTGACCGATTTGGGTCACTATGGCCAATCTCACTGAGACTAGCCAGATGCGCAGGAAATATATAGTGCACAAGTGTACGCGCAGACACAAGTGCACTCTCTTTTCCTTTTACGGGCTCCGGGCTATTACTGATAATATCTTAACAGAAAAACTCCGTAATTAAACTTGAATCAATCTGGGACTCGAACCCAGGGCCAACAACCAGACCACCGAGGCAGTTTAATAATATCCATAGAAGAATATCGAATGTTCTGATTACGTTTCAATAGTTAAAATTGTATCTTCTGTAAAAATCTTATATTTAGTAAAACCAATCTATTATTATTTTTAAAGGATAAATTATATAATATTAATCTTATTTACGCAACCGTAAATAAGTGCTGTAAATTCTTTTATTTCCATAAATATTATTAATAATAATTAATTAACATTAATATTATATAACATAGTCCTTCAGGTTATACTTTTACTTCATTATTATCGTACTATTAATTTACTAATAAATAATTTTAAAATATTTATTCAACTTATTTAATTATTATCATTGTTTAAAAAATGTTATAAATCATTTCTTTTTAAGCTATACGAAAATATATTTTATGTTTTGAAACCTATAGGTATACTAACAATAAGTAACGTTTTAGTGTGAAACATTCGGTCGAAGTTTTCTTGGAACTATCTGTTCGGAAATTCACCGATACTATGACATCATTTCAAAATATAAGAATTTTGTGGTGTAATTATCACACATACACAAACGAAATAAGCAATAAATACAGAATAATAGTAGGAATTAGGAGTTTTTAAATCTTAACTAAAATTCTTATCTGAAAAATTGCCTAAGTCTAGATGATATCTAATTTTAAAAAACCTTATTTTTTCTGACTCACTAACATGCTCGTAACTACACCCGAGTAGCTTGATGATGATGATGTTCTCCTAGCTGATTCTGGCCACGGCGGCCAATCTAAATGAGATTAGCCAACTGCGCAGGAGATATTATAGTGCTCAAGTGTACGCGCAGACACAAGTGCACTCTCTATTCCTATCACTCTCATACTCCGGTGGGACGATCACTCGACATGACCGGTGAGAGTTAAGGCGCAGGACCGACGGCTTTACGTGCTCTCCGAGGCACGGGGGTGAAACACCGCCAACTTCCCAACTCCGGGCTGTTACTGAGACTTACTATACAGGAAGACTCAATAACTAAACTTGGCCCGACCCGGGACTCGAACCCACCTCCGGGTGTGCAGCCGTACATGCTAGCCACTACACCACCGAGGCAGTTAAACCCGACCCGAGTAGCTTATACAATACACTAACGTGTCTCGTATAAGAGACTGGGTCTACAAGTATTAATTGTTTTTTTGCTAGTTTTAAGAAATAATGTGTTTAATATTATGCATGAACAAAGATGATTTCCTTTATATATCCCTTTTATAAGGGATTAAATAAGAGATGAATATTTTATGGAAGTTGACATTTTTCAGGTAGAAATATGAAAATTGCTTTTGACATTACTGACAGGAAATCCCATCAGACTTACTCCTTCCGTTATAATAATAATTTGTTTATTTAATTATTTTAAAATTTTGTCAATCATAATTTCACAAAAACCCAGACAAATTGAATTAACACATAATTTTTATTCATCCTCATTCCTTATGAGATTTGAAAGCTATAACATAAATAAGGGCTTTCGTCAATTTAAAAGTCTTAGTGATAAAATGGTATTTTATACTAACATATATAATATATATATATATATATATATATATAGTATATTAATTTAAAATTAATATATATATATATATATATATATATATATATATATATATATATATATATATATATATATAATATTGCCTGAAATAAATGATTAAATTATAATTTAATTTTTACCATATAATACCATAATCTTACCATTTAACTTAGCCGCTTCATTGTCTAGTTGTACATACTGCGTGAAGTTCTGTCGTGCTTTTGCGCCGGCCGCTTTGTGCCACTCCACCCACGTGTGCTTCAGTTCATCTGGGTCTTGACTCTTGGTAAATATTTCTGTTATATCTAGAAACCAAGACAATTATATACTTAGCATGTTTCTTTATAAATCACTTGGATCAATTTGGCAAAATTAAAAAATTTCAAAATATCTAAATAGCTTGCTAATGGAAAAAAATATATAATAAATATTTTTTATAGAATTTTTATATAATCAGATCAGACGCGTAACAAATAAACGTTACGAGTTACGAGATATAGTTCGTTAGTTTGTAGTAAATACCACTACGAAATTTTACTACGTAATTTTATAAAACATTAAAGCTTTAATAAAAAACTTTACAGCTTTTAAAACTTTTATAAAACTCTTTCTACAAAGCTTCTAATATTTTTTTCACCTACCGGTGTATGAACACAAAAAATATCTTATTGAATCCCTTCTAGCCGAGTCTTTCCATTTTAGTAATAAAGTAATGTTTTGCTTATTACTTACCCAAAATTGATTTTATCGCTTCAGGCACATTTACAAGGCATGAAATCAATGTTATCGATATGTAAATCGGGAAAATTGCAAAATGGATAGGTATTTATCAAAGCGAATTCTGCTGACATTTTATTGGATAGGCAATTCAGTTTATAGGTATTTAAATAAATTTACAGAATATTAAAAAACAGACGTTTGGACTGAAAGATAAACGTTTTTGGTGGACCTTTGATGACTCAAATGTTAAACATTTTTTTGTGAATTCGATCCCATTACTACCTTAGTTTACCGGACTACTATTATAAATACGAAAGTTTTTAAGTATGTTTGTATATTTGTTACTCCTTCAAGATTTACTGAAACGGATTTAGAACTAGACAGATCTAGATTTTAGTACACACTATGTATTCCGCCCAAAAGGGCTTTAAAAATAACGTCCCACTGCTGAGTACGAGCCTACGGTACGAGGGGGATCGGGCCATAGTCCACCACGCCAAGTGCGAGTTAGCGGACTTCACATGTCTTTCGAAATCTTGTTAGGTTTTCTCAAACATGCAGGTTTCCTCACGATGTTTTACTTCACAGTAAGGCAAGTGGTAATCATGTTAGAAATGATTCGCACATGAAAATATCAGAGGAGCGAGACCTGGGATTTGAATCCGCTTCAATCGGTTCCACTGCCTATATTACAAATGATGACTTGGACTAATATATAGGCATGCCTAACAGATACTTTGAACCGCACTCGAGCAAAGTAAGGGCAAGGCGCTAGTTTTGCGTGCATATAAACTATTGTCTTTTATCCATAAATCTTATGTAGGGAATTACGCAGCGATTACATCTACAATTTATTATCTTCGTGTGTATAATTGCACAATTTACTTAGGATATATGTTATTTACATGTTATCATGTAAATTTATATACGTTATCATGTAAATTATTTACGTTTTTTGCTTGAAAATAAAAAAAATCTCTAGAACAGCGCCACCACCACTCCACTCCAACTATAACTAATCTAGGTGACTCCATAGGTACATAAAAATAATCAAAATCGGTCAAGACAAAATTAAATGGAGAAGAATTATGAACAGACGTACACGAGAATTTTATATACAAATACAATGCGCCAATACATTTTCTTTAACTTTCTTTCTTTATTAAAAATATATATAGAAAATCAAATATTATTAATCGTTTGCTATACCTGGTTCCAACGCTAGATCACATTTGGTTGCATTCTTATAGTCGCAGATCTTCGATGTAGCGTAGTTAGACTCCATTCCAGAAACACATTGCATTAATAACTTATATTTATCATCAGGTAAGGCCGAAACGCCCAGTTGAGTATACTTCTTAAACATTCTACGGAGGGAAAAGTCTTGAAAGTCTTGCCATTTGTACATCTTTGTTTCCTCCCAAGCTTGCTTTTCTTGCTTTGATAGTTCCAGTTGGACTTGTATCTGCAATAATAGATTTCATATATTGAATGCCTTTAAAATTATTATACATATATCCTATGCTCGCATATAAGTAAATGGATAATGCTGTAATGTTTATTACATAAAATAAAAAAATAACTTATTATTTTGTACTAGCGACTCACCCTCGCTCTGCTTGGATTCATCACTAGTTACGTTTTAATGTTTAGTATAGATTTCTCAGAGATGAGATACTTACCCGCAGTAAAAAGTATATAATATAACTAATTATATATTGACACGGATGACCAGCTATCATCATACCAAATTTTATCAAAATCTGTCCAGTAGTTTTCTTGTGATGTGATCACAGATGGACAGACATAAATTCTGAAAACTATAGATTCGGCGTCTGTATCGATAATAACGTCTATTTCAATAAGATTTCCCAAAAAATATTTAATGCACAGATTTCGGCTTAATTACAATTTTATCATAATACGTTGGCTCACTATTACAAGGTTCTATGTTACAATTTTAGTACTTATTTAGTTATTAATGCTACAAGGTTCTATGTGTCATTAGCTACAGTTTTGCAAAAATAAACCACTAGATAGCGGCACTTAAACTACAAAATATTCAATTTTACATAGTTCTATGTTGGTTTTTTTACGATAACAAAATAACGAAGTTCTGTGTAAAAATTACTAAACTATATTAAAATTAACATAGAACCTTGTAATAGTGAGCCAACGAATTATGAATAAATTATATTTCTTTATTTATTCTTGCCTATACTTAATAGCCTAAAATATACGAATTTAATGTCAAACAAAATGCTCTTAGTATTAAAAACGTTGCAGCGACCGTTTAAATAATCAAAATTATTGAGCCACATTGCTTCTCTGGTCTCTCATATTACCCTGATTACGCGCTACAATTGCGTGTAATCGAATTAGAGTAACAACATGATTACTGGCTATTTTATATAAAAAAATAAGCAGCTTAGGAATTATTGGACTGCTGTTATTATTAATGCGAGTTTGTATGTGTGTATGTTTGTTGTTTGTTTCTCCTGGCTGAAACGACTGGGCATATTTGTATATATAAATTAGTACACAAATAGTCTATGACCTGAAGTAATACATAGGCTTACTGTTAGGCACCTAGAGACGGATCCGAAGCTATAAATCGCATAAAGCTCTGATGAGTCTATCAACTTTTATCAACTTGTGTGATATTGAAGAAAATACTATATAAAAATATATAAAAATACATTTTTATTATAGGTTTTGATATTTTAAGAAAATATAATATATAAAATGTTTACTGCTTACAGTAAATTTTCTTTTTTCTTTCAAAACATCGCCCTTTTTGATGTTCTTTAAGCCATTTCGACTTTCGTTAAATTATAAGAATTCTAAAACTACATTTGGTTTTTATGATATGTAACAAAAGATTAAAATATTCCAGAACGGGTCTTAAATATGTTTACATCTAACATACGTATTTTTATGTTTGTCGTTTATCAATGAAGTAGTCTCATATCATGTCTGACCTACTATCTATAGACGACAACCAACATTAACTACTACTTTTCTTACATATATCGCACATATCTTACTAAAGCATGAGAATCTATATTGCATTTTGTTTGTTTGTTTGTCCTTCTTTCACGTTGAAATAGAGAGACAGATTGGCGTCTTTTTTTGCGTGGAGATAGCTGGAGGACTGGAAAATGATATAGGCTACTTTTTACCGCGGGAGCTTATCTCATTCTCACGGAAAAATACGTTATAAATACAACCCAAAAAATATTTATGACCAGAATTACTTGAAACTTGGTATTAAAGCTCTTCAACACAATTAAATAATTACGTGTTTTAGCATTTTTCGAAATTTGTCCCTTAAAATGGGGCAAAATAGGGGGTGAAAGTTTTTATGAAACCTACCTTTTTAGAGTTTTTTTTCATAGTTTTAGCGCGAGCGAAGCCGCGGGTTCTGCTAGTAAAATTATAACTGAGTCGAATCTGTACATGAAATATTTTTTTGAAAATCTTATTATCTTATCTTATTGAAATAGTAATTATTATCGATACAGAGACCGAATCTATAGTTTTTAGAATTTTCATCTATCTGTCTGTATATCTGTCCGTCTGGGAACGTATCACAAGAAAACCACTGGACAGATTTTGATGAAATTTGGTATGATGATTGTTGATTATCCAGGTCAACATATGGGATACTTTTTACTGCGTGAAAATGTCTCATCTCTGAGAAATCTATACTAAATATTAAAACGTATAAAGTTTAACTAAAGTTTTTAGGTGTAAATAAGACATACCCTTTTCTCTTCATTTTCTTCAGTTATATTGGATGTATATGCCCATTCAGCGAGGCTAGCTCTATTTTTTCTAACGCCAGCCATTTTATCCAAGTGCATGATGTACTCCCGACCTTCTTGCTCCAAAGCCTCAAGATCTGGATCTCTGCCTTGGGTGGCCACTACGAAGACGGCTACAATGGCCGCGAGCAACGCCGCGCCACCGCCTATCTTTAACATCGTCTGGAAAAATAAATATATAACATGAGAAACAAAACAATAACATTAGACGATAAAGTTATTTGTCCTAAAAATAAAATAAAATAAATAAACATGTAAAATCTAAGAACTTGCTTTTAAGTCGTCTGAACACGGGCGGAGCCGCGGGCAATTCTAGTATACATATAAAATTCTCGTGTCATGGTGTTTGTGGTCGCAGTTCACACTCCTCCGAAACAGCTCGACAGATTTTAATGATTTTTTTTTGTATATTTGGTAGGTATGAGAATAGTTCGTGAAGTATTTTTCATCCTCCTATCTCCACTCTCCATTTTAGTATTTTTGTATGAACAATATTAAATAAACATATAGCGATGAACGCGGGCGTAGCCGCGGGTTCCGCTAGTATTAGTGTATTAAATGGGCTAGAGAGATAATAGCTACGTTATATCTCACCCCTAAATTTTCCATATTCTTTGTATTTTAGAAACCATGATCTTTTGTACTTAAAAAAATTGGTGGGCTTACGAAAAAAAAATATTTCAAGTTTCAATAAATAAATAAAATGTTCACTTCGTACAAAGTCAAATTAATTCACAATAATTTTAATTATTGTAAACAAGTACCTGTTATGTAAATATTTTTTTGTAGTTTAACACAAAATAATATCAAAATGTATCAAATAATTTGAATGATAAAACTTAAATGTCACTGAGACTTGACTTGGAAAAGAAGTCTATATATGTACGTAGTATATGTATTTTTAATTAATCTATTTAACATAAATGTAAATCGTGAGTTTGTACATAATATATATATATATATATATATATATATATATATATACATGATTCTTTATGGTACTTAATCATTTATCAGACTCCATTCAACAGCCAGGTAAGAAATAAAGTGGGAAATGATAACATAACCTTTATATACAATATAAATTATGTACATCTATGTATATAATATAAACATACTTTCATACTTAATATTATAAACGTGAAGAGAAAGACGGATTGGCGTAATTTTTTGTGTGTATATAGTTGGAGGGCTGGAGAGTGACATAGGCTACTTTTTACTGCTAGAGATTATCGAATTCCTACGGAAAAACACGTTATAATTAGTGTCAAATTAATGTCATTACACAACTATAATCTATACCTACAAGTATATTATAAAGAGGTAAAGTTTGTGAGTTTGTAACATTGAAGGGGGTAATCTCTGGATCTACTGAACCGATTTAAATGAAATTTGGTAAGAAGATAGTTTGAGACCCTGGGAAGGAAATAAGATACTTTTTATCCCGAAAATCATCCCTTAAGGTGGTGAAAATAGAGATGAAATTTAGCTTATTTTATAAAAAATATTTATTTCTACTAAATAACAAATAGATGTGTAGAAGTTCAATATATGTTAACTTGTAGGCGGATAAACGTAAAGTTTTTATATTAGTTGAACAGTGTGTAATAATTTGTCCCATACGAATCCGCCGATGTGCGTCGAGCCGAAACGGCATCACAAGGTCTATGTCAACTGTAAACATTTATGAACAAACTAAAACGCACTATATTACTGTATATATTTACATATATATGTAAATATATACAGTGAATGGCAATACGCGTTAAATAAAGAAAATGATTGATACCAGTTCAAAATGTATAACTTCGGCAGCGAGCATAATCAATTATTTTTACACAATGTTCATTACGAATCTTTAACGATAACATAGTATGGTCATTTTTATCGATATTACCATTTCTATAGTTTTTAGATATTTTTTTGTCTGCCTGTTTAGGGATGCATTATAAGAAAACTATTGGACAGATTTTGATGAAATTTAGTATGATGATACCTGGTTATCCGGGTCAACATATAGGATATTTTTTTACTGCGGGTTAATATCTCCTCTCTGATAAAAATATACTAAACGTTAAAAACGAACGAACGAAACGACGAACCAGAGCGGAGTGAGGGTGATTCGCTAGGACATCAAAAAATACAGACGAATAAATACAGAAGAACCTCCTCCTTTTTGGAAGTCGGTTAAAAATAGCTAAGCTATTTAGATCTAGAACAACTTTTCATAAGTGATAAAAATTTGACATCTCAGTAATTAAGTTTGATTTCGGTCATATAAAAAACCAAATTAATATAACCTATAAGATTTTTGTAAATATCGATGATAAAAAACATCACCATGTTGTTGCTAGCTAAAAAGGTCACATTTGACACCTAAATTATACACATAGATATAAATCGACCCCGTACAAACTTTTAAACAAATACTATAAAAATAATAATAAAATCTATGGGAATTTGGGTATTTTTAAAATCCAACAACCTTATATCATATTTGCTTTATATTTCAATTATCTAAGGAGATTTTTAGGAGTATTCAATTGAGTTGACTTATTGATAGCATTTTGATCAAGTTAGCATTTATTACGAAATATAGTGAGTATCATGTTATAAAAATTTTTACAATAAAACATATGGAAACACTTTGAAAACATTCAAAAATTTCAATTTGCAATCTCACTAAAATTCACACAACTACAGCTAGATTTTGATGAAAGCGTAGTTATCCTACTAATATTAAAACGCGAAAGTTTGTGCGGATCGACGTATGGATGAACGTTTGTAACTATTTCATGTGAAAAGTGCTGAACGGATTTTGATCAAACTGTACAGTGGGTTATAAATAAGAATAACACCATAGGTTATGATTTAAAAAGATAGAGCAATACCTAATGAACTACGCTGGTCGAGATAAAACCGTCGCCATAAACTAAAGTACGTACATTAAACAAGGGTAAGAAGGCAAACTAATAATAGTAACTAGACTTGTAAGAAAAACATTCTATAGCAGAACCGGTCTCGGGGTGGATGGTATGCCGTGTCGTTGTCCGATGACGGTGCTTCAGCCATTTTATTTTTATAAATGCAAACTTGTCATAAAAATAGCGGTTAGCTTTACACGAGAAGCTGTAATATAAAAGTTTATTATGCATTAAGTTTTGATGCGATAAAGTTTAACATTTTATAAGAATTTACGAATATATTGTAACTAGCGTTTCACACATGTTCCGTGTCTCATAGCGTCGTATTTTTCACACTCTTAGGACCTATTACGTAAAACTTTTATTAGAATAGTCATTTTCATAATTAATCATTATCTGCAAGTTTTCTTTCTTACAAAATATCGGAATTTTCATACGAATTTTCCTTTCTTACTCCTTTAGAGGTTGAATAATAAAAAAAACCTTTTTTAGAGGACTTCTATTTCTATCTTTCAAGTTTACAGCATGTATACTCTCTGAAGTTTCGTATTTAATCATTAAGAGATTGGTATTTTGCTTAGATATGAATGTATAATTAAAATGTTCTAATGAATTCTATATATCACCGTAAAGTAATTCATAAAAATAACATCTATACATAACAATGAATGAAATTCATTTTGTTGTTCATGATTTTAGGTTGTTAATTAATATTGAGCTACCCACCTTGCTTATCACTTACGGCAGATTTTAATTTTAATAGCCAAGTAACGACTGAGGTACTAATTTCTAAGTTACCCCAACTCCTATGATGGCCCACCTTCAAAAAATTGCACTTTGGTATAAAGCTGTGAAGCTTTGGAAAGCTGAGCTTTATAAGGCACCAATTTTTAAGTTTCATTATATGTTGGGATATTAGCACACGGCACTATCTAGTTCCATATAAGCTACGAAACTTGTATTATCGATTCCAGATAGTTGTTGCACTACACATATTATAACTTTAAATATATGCATATTATAAATATAAACACTCATGACTGGAATACAAACATTCGTGTTTATCACACAAATGAATGCCCTTAGCGGGACTCGAACCTGCAACTTCTGGCACAGCAAATAGGGTCACCACAAACTAAGCCAATCGTGTCGTCAAGTCTACCGGTAGCGAGTGTACATTAGGTACACAATCGGACTACTATCCTAAACACAAAAGTTTGTGTGTGTATATTTGTTACTCCTTCAATCTGAAACCGCTAAACAGATTTTGATGAAATTGAGTACACAGATAGACTACGACCTGGAGTAACAGATTAGTTACTGTTAGGTGTTGTTACTTAGAGACGCACAGTAAGAGCCCACGTCGAAGGTAAGTCGTTAGTTAGTGTTCCGTACAAAATAATATCGCTTTCGCTCATCCTTACATACTCGCAAACCTTAGATGAACGGCGCCGCACTTTCGTCAATGAAACCCGTTCGTCTAGTTAATGTTGGAACATATTATGTATTTGAGTCATCAGACTATGATGAAATCCAATAAGAATTTTATTAATTCTATAATTTGAATAAAAATGAAATTTGCTAATCAAAAATATTTACATCTAAAAGCACTTTATAGGCAGTGGTAGCCCAGTTGTAACACGCTTGGGAAACCGAGTGTAGTGGGTTTAAATCCCGGCTTTCGCAGCTCTGAAATTTTCATGTGCGAATTATTTCTAACACGATTACCACTTGCCTTACGATGAAGGAAAACATCGCGAGGAAACCTGCATGTCTTAGAAAACCTAACAAGTTTTCAAAAGACATGTGAAGTCCGCCAACTCGCACTTGGGCAGCGTGATGGACTATGGCGTGAACCCCCTCGTATGGAGGGAGGCCCGTGCCCAGCAGTGGGAAGTTAAAACGGGCTGAATACAATACAATACAAAATGACTTTGTCTCTTCTCAAAAGCACTCGATGTTTCTTATAATTCACTACCAATCGATTTAACGACAGTGATAATATAACACAATGCGAAGCTTAACGCTTTTAGACCTCCGCTAAAAGCTAAAACTCTAAAATCTGTTAGCGGCATAGTGTCAAACTGTCTATATCTATACATATACTAAAATTCTAACCAGGCCGAATCTGTACATTAAATATTTTTATGAAAATCTAATTGAAACAGACATTATTACCGATACAGTGTTTAGAATTTTTGTCTGTTTGTCTGTCTGTCTGTTACCGTATCACGA